GGGGGGGGGGGGGGGTTTATGAAAGCTGGAGCAGACAAAATCTGGAGCTTCTCTCTTGTTTGTTCAGTTAACCATTAAAATTGCAAGAGAGAAGCTGATTGGTTGAAATGCACAGCTGCTCCAGATTTTGATCAATTCCCGTCAATATTTTCTGGTGAGACCTCCAATCACTTTCTTTCCTGAGATGGGTAAGCTTCCTAATATGGAGACAGGTGACAGAGGCTCTTACCCTTCTGATTATTAACCAAAGCAAATTGGACCTGTCAGTATGGAAATATGGGAGCAGCCATTCCTTGCCTAATATTTAGAAGTACAAGTCCAGGACTTCATTCTTTTACCTGTTACCGGTGCAGTTTGGAAGTTTTGCCTTGACTGGCTACATGATGGTTTTGGATCAGCTTCTCAGTGGACAGTGAAGCAAGGATGAGACTTTAAGTGATATTAAAGTCAAAAGGATTTTAAGCTATTCCAAATGCTGATGAAATCCCTTACAATGGATGCTGCTCCTTGATATTTAAAAGTTTAATTTTCCTGCATAATCAGCTGGTCCCCTGAGCACTGGTCCTGACTTCCTGTTTTAGAAGGACTCCTTTTTCAAGCAGAGTGCTATGCAGTCACCCTTGAGTGTACTAGTAAGCTGTGTGTGTCTCCACAAACACAGACACAGCAAATCAAGCTACTTCCCTCCCCCCGGCCCCCTCTCCTCCCTTCTCCAAGCTAGTAGATAAACAGTTGCTGGAGTCTGCTCTGTCCCTTGTGATCTTGTACTGGACAGGAAGTTCAGCTGGGAGACTTGGAAGCAGCTGTTTAGAAACATGATAATTGTGTTTGGGCAAAAATGTAAAGCAATGCTTTGCTGGGTAATGTATATTTGTTTGGTCTGGATCCATTATTGTAAAAAAAAGTTTGAGAGTTTAATACTTTAACAGGCCTGGAGTTAGCATTTCTCAGGACTGAGCAATCTACTCTGTCAGCTGCCGGTCTATCTGTAGCTGCTACCATATCCTCAAACGCAACTCAATAGGACATGCTGCGTCCTAAAAAGCAGCACAATGCAAAGCAGGTTCAATGCAGCCTCTGAACTGCCACGTGTTCTGCTCCATTAAAGTCAGTCACAATTTGCTGGCCTGCATTTATAGATGAGCCCTTAAGTTGTCCTACTCTCTGTTGTTAGTCCCCCATAGCCTAACACCCCCCCCCCCCTGACAGGGTGGTTTATATATCTACCTTCCCAGCATTCCTGTCTTTGCTGCCACAGGTGACAGTGGCTGAATACTTTTAGCCCCCCATGGCCCAACCCCCCCCCCCCCACTGACAGGGTGGTTTATATATCTACCTTCCCAGCATTCCTGTCTGTGATGCCACAGGTGACAGTGGCTGAATACTGTTGGATCATGTGCTCTCATCCAGAGTCTGTGGCCATCTTTAGAGAAGTAACTTGCACACATGACAGCATGAGTGGCACAGGCTCTAGCAGTGTGGCTGGATTACTGTATGGTCATAAATTCTTGGAATACAGATTTATGACTTAATAACAGGGAGCTGGTGCTAAGGTCGCATCCAGTGTGCAATGGCCAAGACTAGCTGTTGGCTGTGTAGTGCTGTTGTAACTTGCTTGAGGTGCAGGTCAAGGTGTGCGCTGTGTCTGCACATTTGAATTGTGACACATGGTTTATGAATTATCATACACAGTTACTTAACTCTGTGCTCATGCACTTTATTTAATGTGCCATGTTTTCAGTTAGTATAGGAGAGCATTATTTATCCGTCTTTTTCTTTAATAAAACTCACTGTTCAAATTCATGTTAAAGCCAAATTCTAGCCACAGATTTTTCTTGTTTTTTTTTTTATGGACAAAGCAAAGATAGGTTAGAACCCTTGTCAGACTTGTCTGGTTCTTATTTATGGTCTGTTGGTGGTAGCGAGTTGACTTAAAGTATATTCTTCTTGCACACAATACTGGAATTAACTATGTGGTTTAATGGGTGCTGCAACGACTGCTAACTGGTCAGGGTGTACAACATGGGTAGATATGTGGCCAGCACGCCATCAAGCTTCTTTTCAAAGGAACAAGACATGAGGTAAACCCTTCCTAGCAGGGTCATGGACAACAATAAAATATGCCAGAAGTATTTAAGAAATATTTTTTCTTCCTAAGTGTATCCAACAATGAAAAAAACAAAACTTTGAGCTGGAGGTGGGCTTTAGTTTTTTGAGTGTACAGACTGGAGGATAAGCATGCCATGGCTAGAGCTTATACAGTGTAGTATTACTGTAGATATATAATGAGTGAGCAGAAACATCGATTTTCATTTAATGAACTGCTATATGACTAAGTTAACTGCTATGACTCCTTCTCTGGCGTATAAACCTTACACAGAACATCATTGCACTGCACATCTCACATTGCAGAGCTGTGAAGTCTGCTAACTAGGGTTGAAAGTCCATTCTACCATTCCAGAGCTGAATCTTTTGCAGTGTTTAGTCTGCCTGGGATTTAGCATGAAATGCTCACAAATCGTCCTGCTCCTGCTGGCCCTGTGCAGCTTTGGTGAGTAATATTTGCTATACTTATAGAGCACTTTGCAGCTTGAGAGGTTTTATAGATAAATTCACCACTATTGATGATCCAAAAGCCACATCTTTGGAGAGGGACCTAAGACTCCAACTCGCAGAACAAGAATGGGAACAAAACAATACTATCCTACTAAAAGGCCCCATTGATATAAATATATAAGATGCGGCACAAACTAATTTGAATGGTTCACTGTACATTGTAATATGTTTTGGAATTTGACATCACCATTTAAACACGGAAGAGAAAAAAAAAGATAATCCCATTCAGACTTGGGTGTCATTTGGGTCCTAGTTTGATCTGAGTTTGCTGTACATTTATTTTATTCGGACTCTCTGATCCTTCTGAAAAGCTGTGGATCTAAAGGGAAATTTATGAAGAAGCACAGGTTGCTTTTACACATAAACTAAGTATTCCTTTAAATACATAGGCCTTATTTTAAAGTCATAGACTTGTTTGGAATAGCTTATTGTCTGTACTAACAATGGTGTGCACTGTCTGCAGCTTCTGCGGCCTCTTCTTCCAGGTGTGAGGCCCCTGAACAAAGCCGCTGCAACTTCATATGTGACTGCTGGGACTGTTCTGATGAGAGGGACTGTGGTGAGTACAGGCTTGTGTAATGTTATACAAGGCAGCCTCAAAACCTAACTCCAACCAAAATGCTTTCTTTATTTTGGATAGAGTTGGGAAATTCTACAACCTGGCAGGCGCTAAATTAGTTTGTAGCACTAGAACCGTGCTTGCATATTTTAATGCAGATGTTTTGGTGCAGAGAACACTGCCCCCCCCTCCCTGTGTCCCTACTGGAGAGAATTACCATCTCTCTTTGTCCTGGTGACCATGATCAGTGGGACAGTAAGTGATGGGAAATTCTTTTTTTTTTTTACAGTTGTTATCAGCAAAGCAGATGGGATGTGGTCTAATGGTGACACCTTTTCAGGGACAACTGTCAAAGCTGGGATTTTCTATAACACAAGTCCTGTCATTTCCCTGGCATAGGAAGAGGAGGTAAATCTCCCCAATGGGGACACAGCTGTAAAAAAAAGTGACAGAAAGTCTAACCCTTCAATAATCTAACAAAAGCTAATTATATAAATGTCAACTTGAGTTCTACTTTAGGTAAATTGAATCCTTTGTTTTTAAAGTGGACTCTCCTATACCAGGATTCTTTGCACTGAAGGCTAACCTTCTCGTGCCCAAAGAGCCAGTGCAGAAACCCTAGTTCCTCTGGCAGGATTTTGTTGAGATTTCCCTTCATCTACTGTCCTGGTGACACCCTGGCACTGGCACTGGCACTGACATTTCGGGACACACACAAAGTATTAAGAAGTAAAATGGATAAACAATCCAGCAGGAAGAGGGGAGCTCCTTATAAGCATATAGCACTGCAGGTGTACAGAGCCAGGAACTGAGTGCAGAGATCTCACCAATAAAGTTCCCAAGATATATAAGAAACTGTCAGGTGGTTTAACTCTTTCACATCTACCAAAAGCTGAAATATTAATTTTGGTCGGTGTAGCCCTTTAAAAAAAGGTGCACTGTTTTTTTTTTTTCTTGTTATGTATAAAGATCTGAAAGATATCTATTACTGGTGCACATCAAACACTGGAGCTAAGAAACGTGATTACTCTACCCTCAGGTTACCATCGAGTGTCACCAGCATGGGGCATCCCCTTCAGCTGTGACTTTGAGCACGATGACTGTGGCTGGAAGGACATCAGTACGTCCAGCTACCAATGGGTGAGAGACAGAAGAGGTTTCTTCAGGCATCACGGTGATCACACGCTGGGACACAGATGGGGTAATTCCTGAGTTTCATATTTCTCTTCATGCTCTGGATGACATTTTCAGAACATTTGCTGGACAGGATACAGGAGAAGACTTATTGTTATCTGTGTATGTGTAACACACACGTTGAACTGGATGGACCTCTGACTTTATTCAAGCAAGCAAAGTAACTATATGTGTAAAATAGCTCCATTACACTCAGTGATGTTAAAAATACTGTAGGCAAGTGGAGGTGAAAATACTTCCTTGAAAGTTGTTTTATTAAAGTACACTGTTTTGTTTTATGGGCACTACTCCATGATTTCCATTAGAGTGACCATTAACATAAAGAAAGTCAGGTCAAGGATAGCACTGATTCTCGTATAAGGGCTTGTGGCCTGATTTCCTTTAGCTTTTAGTTCATTGAGAACCTTTGAAGCCAGTGTATTTTTCAGTAATGCTACTGGGTCCCATCCAGTAGATACTGTATATTGTGTTAATGAGGCCACCAATGACCAAAACGCATGAAAAGTGCAAAGAAGTGTAGTAATCCACGAAAGACAATCAGAATTCAGCTACTAGCAACTTTGTGTCAACAAACAAAACCAGTGCAGTTGTTATCGAGGGATGGGTCTTGGTGCAAACAGGACAAGCCTACCCATCTCCCCCATCAGCACCACCTTACTGCCCTACTGTGTACTGCAGAGCTACAAAGGGAATCTACAGAGCACACTTTTAAATGATTACCCTCTATTTGATCATGTGATCTGTTATCACATGATCCAGTTCATGGAATGTAGGCAAAGCACCCTGGTACCTTCACTGTAGCTTCAGCAGCACTGTAGTGGATCTAGCACCTCTACCTGGAACTCTGTGAAAAACTGCACTAAGATACATAGGGGAGCTGCCAATGCCGTCCTTCTTCTGAAAATGTTTGTTGCCTTACTATCTTGCTTCCTCACTTTCTGTATCACTAAACCAAAACAAGTATGGAGCAACTAATGTCAGACTAAAGAGTTGTTTACTTGTTTCCACTCAGTGACTAATAAAGTATTGAAGCCATTGGATCAGCATAAGAGCCAGAAAACTAGCATTTTTAGAAGAAGAGGACAAGAATGGCAGCATTTGTATTCCGCTCAGTACAGATTTCCTCTGAAGTAGGGGTAGCCAAACTGGCTCTCCAGCTGTGGAAAAATGTCAAATCCCATCATGCCTCTGCCTCTGGGAGTCATTTTTCAAAAAACATGCACCGCGCTAATAAATATATCAATCACCATAAATAAGTAAAGTCGCATCAGTAAATATCAACAATGTATATCATAAATATATAAATAAAAAAAATGGACATATTAAAGTGTTAACTGTCAATAAATACCATATGGCCAATAATGTTTATACATAGATCTCCTAATATAACTTCTCCAATGCTAATAAATGCATATGTACACGATTTGCATTTGCTTATAATTCCAAAGTGCTGATTTGCATAAAAAAATAATATAAGGTGACTCTGGTAGTCATGCCTGTGGCTGTCAGAGTCTTGCAATGCCTCATGGGACTTGTAGTTCTACAAGTGAAGGGCCGAAGCTTGGCTACCTGCTCTGAGAACACACCTGGGCAGTAAAGAGCTGCTGTAGTTACCCCCATCGCAATGCCAATCAGTAATACAGATTTCTGTTTCTTACGGATTAAGGCTGCTATTCCCACTACACTGTCAATTAGCCTATTCGTGTGAAAACTGCTATAGTTTTATCATCCAGTGTCCATTTTCATAACCAACTCATGGATATTTTTGCAGCAAACTGTTCAGGTATATTTCACAAATCCCAAAACAGTTGTGCAGAAAATTCCCCAAAATAATATAATTTTCTTTCATTGGAATTCACACATGTTATCAGCCAGATTTCATGGGCAGTCACTGGTCTTCAGGTGTATGCAGTCAGTACAGCACTGGTTGCCAGCAACCAACAATCATATTCTTCCTTTTGTGTCTCTGGAGAGGATGACCAAGTCAGAGGTCAGTCACAAGTCAGTCCTTCTTATTTTGACATGTTCCCAACATGACACTTCCCTCTTTTCTTCCACACAGGCTGGTTCATGGCGGCTGAAGGTCACAGCGGGAAATCTGCAGCATCGGCTCGCCTCCAGTCCCCCGTCCTGAAAGAGGCAGCTGCCACGTGTGAGATCCACATTCACTACCACATGTGGTCTGCAGGTAGGACAGAAGCAATAATCATGGTGTGAACCAATTGGCAACCAACTTAATATTAGGTTATAATTAACTGCTGACTTGTTAAGTAGAGCTTTAAATAAACGTTTTTAGTTTTGAACAGAGTAGAGAAGAGACCTGAGAGATTTCTCTACGCCTTCTGCCCTATCCTAAGACAGGAAGTGATAAGAAATCTAAATTGAGAGGAAAATCCCACCTTTGAGAGTTGTCACCACATCGGGTGCCTCCATTGGAAGATAGCCTAGCACCGGTAATTATTGTCAGTTATTGGATATGATAATATATATATATATTATATGTCTACTCTTGGATCAGACTGTAGCAGTCTGCAAAGGCCAGTGTTCCTCATGCAGAATGCATGTGGAAATATTTGTATTGATTTCAAAGTGGGAGAATAGACTTTCTGCATGTCTGGGCATCAAAAAATAAAACAGACACAAGTGAGCGGACATTTTTGATGATTTGTTTAATACTAAACTGTGTTCTAACTATAACCTTAAGAGATGTTTTCACGATGAGGAAAGTTATGAATATGTAATATATTACTTATTGCCGACAGTCCTGTAATCATTAGTCAAGCAGTTGCTGAAACAAACAGCTTTAGTCATTTTACCAGTTGGCACGTGCTTACCCTGCCTTCGTTCCCTCATTGCTTTGTCCCACTGCCTAGAGTGAATAAAAATGCAGGTACTTCAGGGTATGGTGGAGCATGTGACTCTTTCTTCTCCCTATGCTGGTGCTTGGTGATTGGCCACACAAGCACTCACATCCTTCATATGGGGGAAGGAAGAGAGCTCTCAATCCTGAGTAAGCTCCAGGTTGGTGTTACCTGAAGAATTGGGGGAGCAAAAGGTTGAGCTTGCATTGATGCAGATAGAAAGCTGAAGTGTGAACTACCCTAGGGCAGTGGTGGCGAACCAATGGCACGCTAGCCAGGGAGGGCACGCGGGGCCCTCTGCTGGCACGCGAGCCCAGGCTCAGGGACCATCTCTGAAAAAAGATCCATCCGTCCCAGATCGCCTTGGTATGCGATATGGGCCGGTCACAATCAGGCAGCTGCGGCCTCTAAACAGGCATATTAGACGGCCGCTTCCTCCTCGCTAGGACCCTGAGAGGCCCCAGTGAACGGCCGTCTAATATGCCTGTTTAGAGGCCGCTGCTGCCTGAATGTGACCTGCCCGGATCGGGACGGTTGGATATATTGAGCAGCAGCTGCCCTCCAGGAAAGCCGTACAAAATCGAAATCTGATCGCTTTCATTTACCCCAAAATGAGAACTTCCATGTACAGTACAATGTGCTGAGGAGTGATAATAGATCTCTTAACGGAGGAATCTCCCCCTTTCTTTTTTCTCAGATTCTTCTCAGGTGAATGGGAGCCTGGCTGTGCAGCTGGTGGACAGCACTCAGACCTACACCTTATGGGAGAGCTCACGGAGCAGTGTCCTGTTATGGAGACGAGCAGTTGTTTACACTGGAAGGATCTCTGGGGACTTTCAGGTCTGTTGTAGTGTAATGTCATAGAGATGAGTAGTTGTCTACACTGGGAGGAGCTCTGGGGACTTCCTAGTCTCTTGTAGGGCCCCACCAATCTTTAGCTGGATGTCTAGCAGGGAAAGACCCAGATAATGGTCAGTAGAGGTGGGAACTGGCACTTCCTACAGGAGTCTCTGAAGTACCTCCCTTACCTATCCGCTGTTTTTATTAAGGTTATTTCAATCCTGTCAAAATGTGTTTAAAGTTTTTTTCTGCAAACCTAAGTTTGCCTTCTAATGGTGGGTAAAGGGGGCCCCCTGCACAATTAACAATACCCTATGTGTGGGGGAGTGGGGTGTCTTTCTGCAAACCTGAGAGGGTACCTTCTGCACACTGGGATAGGACAATGAGCTTTCTGCATACCTGAGAGTACCTTGTGCACAGCAGTGGACATCTACAGTGTGACTGGATCTTTGTACATTGTGGTGATAGCAATGGGCAGAAGCTGGTAGGAATCAGATTATTTTTATAATTAATTGCCAGACTCTTCTTCTCTCACCTCTGCTTAATAACCTGATCACTGTTTTCCTTCCAGGTTATTGTCACAGCCTCACGTGACGCTGTCAGTTGGGTAGACATTGCTGTGGATGACATTGAGTTCCGCCATTGTGCTCTTTCAGGTATTACAGGAGCTGGTTTATTATCAGGTATAGACCTTGCCACCTTTTCTGTTGTAAACAATCAAACCTCCCAGAACTTGAAGAAAGTGTCAGTTGCCCATAACAACCAGCCATTTGTCCAGAGCACGTTACAAATTGACTTATATCAAACTATTTTGGCCAAATGTCTTTACTTTTCCCTTTAAATTTCCTATGTTAACCTCAGTGTGTTACTCCAATATGTTACTCCAATGTACTACCTTACATTCAAGGGTGTCTACAGGAACATTTCTTGTTGACCATAGCAACTTACCAGCATCTTTTTTTGTAGTGTAGAATAGCATTGTAAAGCCGACAGTCGGCTCTACAAGTTTAAACAGAGTCCCAGCGGCAAAAGTCGCCGGGAGTCTGTTTAAACAGCCACGATGCTGGCGACGTACACTGTACGTCGTCAGTCACGAAGGGGTTAAGGGAAAATCTGGATAGAGAATCTGTCGTCCTTCACTTGTATGGGCCCCACTGCATCTTTACAGGAAAACAAGCATGCATACGTTGTACATTCTTTTTTTCAGATTTGCAGGAAAATTGTATGGTGGGACAATATCAGTGTGCTCGAGGCAGCTGTGTGGAGGATGCCGCTCTCTGCGATGGAACGGATGACTGTGGTGACAATTCGGATGAAGCAAACTGTGGTGAGTGGTTAAAGTGCACCTGTGCTCAGACTTTGGACATTAAATTACTTATATATTCTTAACAAGCAGTAAAGGAACTTTAAAAAACAAGCCCTCACTGACCTCTTTAGAGGCTTGTGCTGTGAAATAATTTATTCTCAAAGATCACAAAAAATACTCTGAGTTGGATTCCAGCAGCTTACTAATACCTGCTGTGTGTTTGCGATTGGAAGGCGGGCAGCCTGCCAGGGTCTGCTCTCGTGCCTTTGAAGATGGCTTTCTTTACAATGCCTATAGCTATAGAGTTGAATGAGGGCTTGTTTTAAAGGAGAACTATGGGGTGAGTGCTTTTCACTCACCTCATAGTTCTAGCCGACCTGTGACAATGAGACTGTCACAGGTCGGCTCAGTAGATCGGGAGGTGAGCGAACACATACCGGCGTTCGCTCACCTCTCGATCCTGTCACAGCTCTCTGCCGTTACAGGGGAGGGGCTGGATTCCCCTCTCCCCGCTCCAATCTGCCAGCGCTGACTGGCGGAACGGACGGGGGAGGGGGCGGGTACAGCTGGCTCTGCCTCTAGATAGGCAGATCCAGCTGTCAGTCACGCAGCTCGGCGGATCCCAGCACAATTGTCGGGAGGATGCTAGTTTGTGTCCTCCCGTTACCCTAAGGAGAACGATGGGGAAAAGACTTAACCCCATAGTTCTCCTTTAAAGTGCTTTTACTGCTTGTTCAAAATATATAAATATTTTAGTGTGCATAGTCTGGGCATAGATTCCCTTTAACGTACACCTGTTATGGGAAAAATATGGAGGCTTCCATTGCTGACCCTTTCTGTCTGTAAATACTAATGGTCTTGCTGTCAGTCTAATCCTTTGACTTTAGCAAGGTAACTCATATAGACAATAGGAATTCTTAAGTTAATGCATGCTTGATATAGATAAGTGACCCAAAGATATCAAAGACAGATGTAACTTGCATTTCTAGGAGGTAAGCCATGGCTCATTCTGGTATGACAGGTGCTCTTTAGCTGTTTTATTATATTTTTAAGGCTGTTGTATCTCAGCTGCGCTGCCTGTTAATCTTTTAGCATAACATTAATTAGGTCCCAAGAAACAGCATGCAGTCCCCCCCTCTGGGCCTTGATAAGGATGATGTCACTATGTACACATTGCCTTCACCTGGTATGGGCACTGTGAGTCTCTATAAACATTCCTGGGCAAACAGAGGCTTTTTGTTGATAATCACAAACAAATCACATCATAAGTGGAGGCCCCTGATTCCCTACGGTAGCACAATGAGTCTTTGAGCCCCACCCTCATCAAGCTTTCTTGGACCAGGAATTGGTTGCAAATCCACCTGTGCCCCATGGTGCGTCTTTCCATTGGTCCTGCAGTTATAGCCAACACTGCAGCTTTTTGTGTATCAATTTAATTTGTCAGTATTTCTGAGGGCAGACTTGTGTGTTTTATATTGACCAGTGATGTTCTTCTGTATATTTTGGCAGCATCTTTTGAGAATTAAAGGTAACATTTGGTTGGGTTGGTATGCACAAAATGGTTCTTTGGGACACTGAGGTTTGATATACTGTATCCTTCTTTTTTCATTATAGATACCCACCACTGCAACTTTGAGGTGGACACTTGTGGCTGGGTGTCTGACTGGGAAAAAGTTGAGGGGTTCAGCTCCAGACCAGGTCGAGATCACACGGCCAACAATAGATCAGGTAAAACTGCACTCCTACTGTTTCTCGAGTTGTACTTGCATCTTACATGCGTTACCTTTGATAGCTATGAAAGGTGCATTTTCCTAGAAACCATATCACAAATTCAATAAGGAGGACCTTATTTTATTGCACTACACTAAACACAAATTGTGCAAAAATAGTCAAAAAACAAAAAAGAAACGCCAATCACAAGGAAAATAGGGGAAAGTTTACTAGGAGTTTAGTGGTCACTTTTGACCTCTAAAATCTTTTCATTTTCTTTTTTTTTGTTACCATTCCCCATATGCAATATGGCATTTTTATTCCAAATAAGAAAACTCCCATTTTCTGAAATGGCATTTATTTTTATTTGAGCTCCCTTCATCATCATCTGACTCATGCCTGAATCTTGGTACTATTAGGAATACTCAACCTTGACTGATCGGGATTAAAAGAAAACTATGGCCCAACCTTTTTTGGCCATAGTTCTCCTTAGGGTCACAGGAGGACATTTAATATGTCCTCCTGTGACCTAAAACTCAGCCCGCTATATGCTGACAGTGCAGATTCAGGAAAGATACCAAGATACAGACAATATCCACTCCGCTGCCTGATTGACAGCTGGCTCTGCTTCTCTAGAGCCAGCTGTGCCCACCCCCTCCAATGAGTGCTGGAAGAACAGAAAGAAGGAAGGGGAAATCCTTGCGGGAGGAGGTGACTGACAGTCACCTGTCTCAGCGAGAAGATCGGGAACTGAGCGATCAGTGGTATGTGATCGCTCAGTTCACGATCAATAGAGCCGACGTGTGACAACTTCAGTGTCACATGTGGGCTCTAATTATGGAGATGAGTGTATTTCACTCTCCCCATAATTCTCTTTTAAAGAGACAGACCTCTAATAAAACAAAGCTACATAGAGCCTTTAACTGGTTTGAAATCCTTGGGCTTATGTAATACATCCCCTTAAAAACCTTAATGTGAGTACCTTGAATGTATCTTGTATACCCATTCTAATTTCCCTCCACTGTGGTAGCTCTGCTCACTAAAATTGCTGCGGCTAGCTGTCACTTTGATAACTGGGTCAGGTGTATTATGTTTAGGGTTTTATGTGCACATTTATTGGGCGAGCTTTGTTAAATACAGTACGTGAAAAAAAGTTTTTAACGCTTAGTATATATTGTACTTATTTAACCTTTTCTTAACCTTAGTTATCCTTAATCCGACCTAATTAGCCGCCCTTCCCCCCCATAGCTAATATTTGTATTCTGGTTTTTATCACCATTTATATTTAATCTTTTGTTTTTTTTGCTCATTTGTTGTTGTAGTTTTTTTTTTAAATATAATACACAATCTTTTTTTAAATTAATTTATTTTATTTGTGGGTAGCTTTGTAAATTCAATGTCTTGTAGATTTAGTGATGCTATAAATGGGACAAATCACAGAATAACGCATTTTATCTACAGAAACATTTGTTGGCCTAAATATTACTAATACTCAACTAAGTACACAATTAAAAAAGATAAATAGGAACAGCTAGACTTGCCAAATGATGTTCTATCTCCTGTAATCCCTTGCAGGCCAAGACTGAAGGGAGTAGGGCCAGCAATTTAAGCCAGGCAGGCTCTGCTACACTGAACATCTTCTGACAGGAAACATACTGACAGAAGGAAACAGCAGAGTAATGACTATTCAGTGTGGTGTTGGTCCTTTGTTATCAAATGAGCAGGCTGGGATTTGTTCTTGACTAGTGTCTTGACCAAGCTATACTGCTGCAGTAGAGGTCAGGACCTGGCTACACTGGCTGACTGGATAAACAGAAATACAAACCCTATGGAAGGCAAACATTTTTTCCAAATGTGTATTGCTTGGAGCTCATCATTAAATTATTTTATGTGTCCTTTAACATTTCAGGTTTCTTCCTGCATGTTCCGCAAACAGCCACAAAAGTGAGCACACTGAGAAGTCCCCAGCTGCAACCAAACAGCACCTCACAATGCTTTGTAAGTGGTATCTCACAATTGTCCCCCCAATATCCTCCTGATACCTCCATCCCCTACTTTAATTTATTCATCAGAAAACTATTTTTGTCTGTTTTACATAGTTACATAGTTATTTAGGTCGGAAAATGACAGAGGTTCATCATGTTCAACCTATAGAACCTCCATAAACAGAACCTTATACCCACAATTACAAACAGTTATTCCAGAGGAAGGCAAACAACCCTATAAAGCTGGGTTCCTGATTTCATAAGGCAGCTGGATATTCCCTGAATCACCAATCTCTGGTGTTTTTTTACTAATAGAATGTTAATACCGAGTTATATTCCCTTCATTTAGGTATGCATCCAGATTTGTTATTTAAACAATTAACTTAACTAGTTCCTGAAGAGGCCTGTTCCACAATTGTATAGCTCTTGTTACATGTTTATGTGATCCTTTATCAAACTGTGTAAGTAGTAACCTCACACTTGTCTCCCAATCTCCTCCTGATACCTTCATCCCCTCCTTTAATTTATTTAGTCTGAGAAAACTGGGTCTCTTTTGGCCTGTTTTAAAAGATTTGTGTTTCTATCCACAGCTTGTATTTTATTACCTTTTGGATGGCTCCAGCTCCAGCTCACTGGTGATCAGAGACCCTGAAAATAAAGTGCTGTTAGAGAGAAAGGGACATAGGGGACCTGTATGGCTCCGAGAGAAGATCACCTTCCTGGATTCAAGTCAGAGCTTCCAGGTAACATTACATTTATTATCAGTACAGTGGCTGACAAAGTCAGCAAGGCAGGTGGGTGTACACCTTGGTGGTTAGTCGTGAGAGGGGCCCCCTAAAGATTAGCGGTCAGTGGAGAAGGGCCCTCTATACATCAGTGGTCACAAGAGAAGGGCCCAGTACATTGGTAGTCAGTGGAGAAGGGCCCCTTATATTGGTACTCAGTGGAGAAGGGCCCTCTTACCTTGGTGGTCGGTGGAGAACGGCTCCCTTACATTAATAGTACAAGGGCCTCCTTACTTTAGTGGTCAGGGATGTAGGACCCTCTTACTTTTGTGGTTATTGTAGAAGGACCCCCTTGTGTTGGTGGTCAGTGGAAAAGGCCCACCTTACATTGGTAGTCAGTGGAGAAGGACCCCCTTACATTGCTGATCAGTGGAGAAGGACCCCCTTATATCGGTGGTCAGTGGATAAAGACCCCCTTATATCGGTGGTCAGTGGATAAAGACCCTCTTATATCGGTGGTCAGTGGATAAAGACCCCCTTACAATGGTGGTCAGAGTAGAAGGGCCCGTTACATTGGTTACAGAGAGAAGCCCCCTTACATAAGTGGTTAGTGGAGAAACGTCCCCTTATATTAGTATTTAGTGGAAAAGGGCCCCCCTTATATTGGCGGTCAGTGAAAAAGAGCCTCCTTACATTAGAGGTCAGTGCAGATATCCCCCCTTACTTTATTAGTCAGCTGAAAAGGGCCCCCTTACTTTAGTGGTCAGTGAAGAAGGACCCCCTTACTTTACTAGTCACTGGAGAAGGGCCCCCTTACTTTACTGGTCAGTGGAGAAGGGCCCCCTTACTTTACTGGTCAGTGGAGAAGGGCCCCCTTACTTTACTGGTCAGTGGAGAAGGGCGTGCTTCCATTGGTAGTCATTGATTTCTCCACATCTGGCTCTGATTAGCTGTCAAATTGCGGCAAATATCAGGCAACTGATTGTGGAACTTGTAACAGGCGGCAGTAATTGTAACTTTGCTAGAAAGGTAACAAGGATCCATTAAGATGATGAATGATCACATGATCGGGAACTATTCTGTTCCCAATCAGTATTGGGAACCTAAGCTGGCAGGGTTTGAGAGCTAGCTGCCACACAATGCGTTTGCTGTTAGCTATCAAAGGGAGGATGTTTATCGACATATCTTCACAACTCCAGTTTGGATCATTGCTGAATGACTGGAACAGTGAGTCTGTGTTGGACTGTCGGTTAATAAGTGCCAGGCTAGGTATTTCTTAATTTTTATTTAGAACTAAAGTTTAGTGTTCATTCATTTGTAGTCTTCATCGGCTAGTGAGAGACATTGAGAGCTGTTTTGTGAGCAACAATTGTAGCGCCCCTCTCTTTGAGGAACAGGAATCACAAACCATATTCCCCCAGGGTTTTCTGGCATTCTCAGAAGCTGTGAGGGAATTTATTAGGCGAAGTAGCTAGATTGCATGACATGATACTGTTCAAGCCTTTGCCTGATTCAGCAGTCATGAATGCTACTCTGCACTGAGAAGTTTCCAATGACATTTCCAAGCAGTGGTTTGTCTCCTGACTTTATATATATTCAGGTATAAAAGTACCTGTGCAGACTGGGTGTGAAGTGAATGCATTTAGGGAATGAAAATGGATCAGAATTGCAGTTCACATTGCCACCAAAGAATGGCAACTGACTACTCTAAGAGAGGGTGGTGAGGGTGAGTTAAAATGACACCAATGGGCATAGGCAGGGACCTGGTTCCTGACGCCCCCACTCAGTTAGCCTCTTGAGCAGTGCAGAAGAAGTATTGGCTAATTGTATATCTGGAAGTTACTGTTGTGGTGTTCAATAATGATTGTGTGTGAACAGAAGAAGAATAGAAGAATATATGTCAGTAGAAGATGTTAATAAGCATATGTGTTTAATGATTCCCCCTCACTTCAACTAAGGCCCTTTGTGCATGATCTGGAAAGGTCTCCTGTCATTCCAGAGAAGGTCTTGCACATTGCCTGACCTCCTACTGAAACTAATTTTTTGTCTCCTAGCTTCTGAGAGCAAATAACAGAGAATATAAAGCATTGCTATGTCAGCGAGATATAATTATGGGCAATAATAACATCTATAATGTCCCCGTAGAGGAAATGCATCGTTTTATATCTGTAACAAGGATCCATTAAGATGATGAATGATCACATGATCGGGAACTATTCTGTTCCCAATCAGTATTGGGAACCTAAGCTGGCAGGGTTTGAGAGCTAGCTGCCACACAATGCGTTTGCTGTTAGCTATCAAAGGGAGGATGTTTATCGACATATCTTCACAACTCCAGTTTGGATCATTGCTGAATGACTGGAACAGTGAGTCTGTGTTGGACTGTCGGTTAATAAGTGCCAGGCTAGGTATTTCTTAATTTTTATTTAGAACTAAAGTTTAGTGTTCATTCATTTGTAGTCTTCATCGGCTAGTGAGAGACATTGAGAGCTGTTTTGTGAGCAACAATTGTAGCGCCCCTCTCTTTGAGGAACAGGAATCACAAACCATATTCCCCCAGGGTTTTCTGGCATTCTCAGAAGCTGTGAGGGAATTTATTAGGCGAAGTAGCTAGATTGCATGACATGATACTGTTCAAGCCTTTGCCTGATTCAGCAGTCATGAATGCTACTCTGCACTGAGAAGTTTCCAATGACATTTCCAAGCAGTGGTTTGTCTCCTGACTTTATATATATTCAGGTATAAAAGTACCTGTGCAGACTGGGTGTGAAGTGAATGCATTTAGGGAATGAAAATGGATCAGAATTGCAGTTCACATTGCCACCAAAGAATGGCAACTGACTACTCTAAGAGAGGGTGGTGAGGGTGAGTTAAAATGACACCAATGGGCATAGGCAGGGACCTGGTTCCTGACGCCCCCACTCAGTTAGCCTCTTGAGCAGTGCAGAAGAAGTATTGGCTAATTGTATATCTGGAAGTTACTGTTGTGGTGTTCAATAATGATTGTGTGTGAACAGAAGAAGAATAGAAGAATATATGTCAGTAGAAGATGTTAATAAGCATATGTGTTTAATGATTCCCCCTCACTTCAACTAAGGCCCTTTGTGCATGATCTGGAAAGGTCTCCTGTCATTCCAGAGAAGGTCTTGCACATTGCCTGACCTCCTACTGAAACTAATTTTTTGTCTCCTAGCTTCTGAGAGCAAATAACAGAGAATATAAAGCATTGCTATGTCAGCGAGATATAATTATGGGCAATAATAACATCTATAATGTCCCCGTAGAGGAAATGCATCGTTTTATATCTTTCTTTCTTTCTTTCTTTCTTTCTTTCTTTCTTTCTTTCTTTCTTTCTGTCTTTCTTTCTAATTGATCAAATCTCTCCTTTACTGAAATAAATATGAAATATTGTGTATTAATAATTTTGTATTTATATATGCAGCCGCCAGCAGGCGGAGCGCTCAGCTCCTTTTCACATTTTACAGGCTTCTTCCATCTTCTCTAATGAAAATTTGAGTTCCCCTGACTACTCTTGTCTATTTGTCAGATTATCATTGAGGGATTTGCCGGAGCAGAGGGAGATACTGTGGCTCTTGATGATCTTATACTGTCCCCTGGTTGCAATGTACAAGGTAAGTTAAAGTTCACAGAAGCTTTGTCCATGACAGCAGTTACTGAGAAAGCATTCTGCTCCTCCTAACACGATGATGCTGGTTTACAGTAAAGCCAAAGGAAAACTTTTTTTTTAGATTTGTATAGGATGATAAGGAGTTAGACCCCCTGTCAGGTTCTAATTCAGAAGGATATTCACTCTCTCTAATTTTCCTGATCACTACTGTCACTGGGAATAAAAGTGAGGGTAAAGCAAAAATTTGGATTTGCCATCAAAACAGGAATAGAGAAAAAAATATTCAATGGGGACTCTTGTTCCTGTGACAACTGTCTAAGAGAGGATTTCCCTCACATTGGAAAGATTTTCTCTCACTCCTTTTGAGCCTACATGACTGGAAGTCAAGAGAAATCTCCCTAATGAGACAAAGATGGCAACAAATTACCCTCCCCCACTCTATCCAAAATATACAATATATTATATGCGATAAATTATTATCATCATTTTACAGGTTAATATACGCTCACCGGCCACTTTATTAGGTACACCTTGCTAGTACCGGGTTGGACCCCCTTTTGCTTTTAATTCTTCATGGCATAGATTCAACAAGGTGTTGGAAACATTCCTCAGAGATTTTGGTCCATATTGACATGATAGCATCACGAGCCCAAAGTGCGGCAAGAAAATATCCCCCACACCATTACACCACCAGCACCAGCCTGACCCGGTGTGGTCTTCGGCTGCTGTAGCCCTTCTGCTTCGAGGTTGGATGTGTTGTGCGTTCAGAGATGGTATTCTGCATACCTTGGTTGTAACGAGTGGTTATTTGAGTTACTTTTGCCTTTCTATCATCTCAAACCAGTCTGCCCATTCTCCTCTGACCTCTGACCTCAACATTCTCTGTAAACTCGAGAGATGGTTGTGCGTGAAAATCCCAATAGTTCAACAGTTTCTGAAATACTCAGACCAGCCCGTCTGGCACCAACAACCATGCCACATTTAAATTCACTTAAATTCCCTTTCGTCCCCATTCTGATGCTCGGTTTGAACTTCAGCAACTCGTCTTCACTAAGTCTAGATGCCTAAATGTATTGAGTTGCTGCCATGTGATTAGCTGATTAGCAATTTGTGTTACCAAGCAATTGCACCCAATAAAGGGGCCAGTGACTGTGTGTGAGTGTATATGTATATATGTGTATGTATATATATATATATATATATAGATAGATATATATAGACATATATACAGTTTGTACAGCACTTGTTCAGTGGGTCGCCGCATTCCTTCCACTTTTCTAGGCGAGAGGCTCCTCTGCCTCCCCCTAGAGCAGCACTGTCAGTTCTCTCACCAAGCAGCGATTCAAAATATGCTGCCTGATACTGAGTGTCAGCTTAAGGTGGGATGGGATGGGGCTATGGCCGCGAGAGAGCTCCATCTATACGTGCTTTGGTTACAGCTCCCTCACATGTCCTATAGAGGTGCCTGGACAAGAGTGACATCAAATTCTGGCTCCTGGCACCTCTACAGGGCACGCAAAGGAGTTGTACAACCAATGCACATATGGATGGAGCTCCATCACAGCATGTAACCAACACTGGACCCCAGGCGGAGGATCCACTCCATTTCTCATAAGATAGGGAGACTAGGTGGACCTTAAAAATAATTTTACAATTTTTTAAACATTTTTGGAGTGTGTATGTGTGTGTGAGAATGTCTGTGAGTGTGAGAAATTGTGTCTGTGGTTGTGTATGTATTTTAGTGTTCTTGAGGGCCCATTCACACTAGTACACTGCTTTAATCACACAGTACCGTGCGATTAACGCAATATACCACACAATCGCACCTAGCGTGCATTCTGGTGTGGGAGGTGTGTTGCGTTGCCATTCATTTGAATGGTACCCCAAACGCACCTCCCACCCATAGTTTGTACACCCGCACTGGAACGTGCAGTACCCTAATGCCATGCGTTCCATTGCATTGCAACTTGGGTCGTGACTTATTGACCAAGAACAAATGTGGGTCCTGAGGTTACACAGGTTGAGAACCACTAGTCTATAGGATGTGCCAGGACTACTGTAAGTGCTGTACAAGTCATAGATCTAGGATTCCTCTTAATGTTTTGGAGAGCCAAATAACAATTCCTGACATGTCACAAAATACAGCACTAGTATATTTTTTTTTGATTTAATAGCAATCCCTGAGCTCCAGCAGGGGAGCATTTACAAATGTGTATATCAAATAATAAAGTAATAAAGGTTACATTGAAAATGGCTTTTGGTTAAACATTGCAATAATAACTCAAAGTCTGTACTCACTGAAAATACAATATACCTTCCCTTAACTTGAAAGTTTCTAAAGTTAATATCTGTACATTGATTGGATTTATTTCTGCAGGAAATGCCAGCAAGCTATTTGGAGCACCACCCCCACCAGAGAAGACTGACATTAATGTGAGAGAATCCTGCAGCGCAGTAGGTGAGGGACAGTTGTCTCATTACTTGAAAAGGAACCTGTCACAGCTGTTTTCTGGCACAGCAGAGACTCACATTATGTGCTGGAGGCTGCCACTCGCCATTTCCTATGATGATTGGTTCTAGGTCACATGACCCACAGCTCTGATGTCACTTTCACAAAAGATATTTTGATGTTAGCCACACTAGTGCACTCCTGCTATGGCTCTAGGTCATGTGACCTAGACCCAGAGTGCTGCAGGGTGTTCCATATACAAGGTACAAGACAGGTATGCTTTTGCACAATTTCCCACCACAGTATGATTAAAGAAAACCTAAATGTTTACAGGTTAATGAGCATAATCTGTTTAATATGTTTTAACTTTTTTGTTTATTATTTACAGAAATGTTTGATAGCCTGGGAGGATGGACAGATGTCAGCATTGGACGGCTAAAATGGGAGAATTCTACAAATGTTGGTAGGTAATGCCTTCTTGTCACCTATACAGGTCTTTTAGATAAAAAGACCTGAGAGGAACATGTAGCGTAGTGCAATGCCTACATGTCACAGACTATTTTACCAATACAATGAAATGAGAAGACGCTTCTAGATAAAAGGACACTCATATAGCAAGCAGCCTAAAGGTGTATTGCAATGCTGGCATGTACCATCCTACCATACCATTACAATGAGATGACAAGGCCTTCCAGATAAAGGACACTCATATAGCAAGGAGCCTATAGTGTAATGCTATTCCTGTGTGTCACATCCTACCTTACCTATACAATGAGATGACAAGGCCTTCCAGATAAAAGGACACTCATATAGCAAGGAGCCTATAGTGTAATGCTGTTCCTGTGTGTCACATCCTACCTTACCTATACAATGAGATGACAAGGCCTTCCAGATAAAGGACACTCATATAGCAAGGAGCCTATAGTGTAATGCTATTCCTGTGTGTCACATCCTACCTTACCTATACAATGAGATGACAAGGCCTTCTAGATAAAAGGGCAGTGGTATAACAAGTGGTATATAGTGTAGTACAATGCCTGTGTGTCACATCCTACCTTGCCTTTCAATAAAATAACAAGGTCTTTTAGATAAGAGGACACTCGCTGAGAGAGGAGTCTATAGTGTAGTGTGTGCATCTGGCATTCTACCTTACCTTTGCAATGAGATAACAAGGTCTTCTAGAATAGAAAATATTTACAAAGAGAGGATAATATAGAGAAGTTCAATGCAGAATATACATACACTGTCCACTTTGGCGCTGCGTTAGAATATAAAATGGTGCAGAGCCCTAGTGATTCTTACTAAAGATAGAAAACAACAACTACATGATAATTGTACATATGCTAAAGGAAACACAACAATGTTTTTTAGAAATCTGCCACAAAAATGAAATGCTCTCCTGGTTGCAGCCATGGCAAAAGTACAAAGTTTGTAGACATAATTTCACAGACTCTTCGTTCACCTATGCCTATAAGCGGTTTGCTTTTTTTCAGCGAGGTAAAACTGAAAGCATCTCCGCCAATGTCCTTGGTGTAGTGCACTGGCAGAACCAGTGTTGGGAAAACACTGCATGACTTACGTGATGCCAGGAGATGTAGGGATTCTTATGACAACACTTTGTCTGATAATGTCACTATAGTGAAGAACCTCCCACTTAGCACTCTCTGTGAAAGATTTCCACATGTATACCAGCATGGCCTCTGATATCATCTATGGAACAGCAGCAGCTAAGGGTGCAGACCAGGTCTGCCCAACAAAACTGGACACTTCCTTTAAAGTATAACTACAGCCAAAACCTTTTCTTATTTTAGTTTTAGATGGGTTAGAACTTCTGTAAGATTTTTTTTATTGCTGTCTGAGGCTGCATCTGGGAGATTTCCCCCACTTACTGTCCCTTTGATACCGTTGTCACCTGAAAAGGTAAAATCTTGAACAGAGTTATAGCAATAAAAGTTGGCAGGGGTTCTAGCCTTGCATTTCTTCACTAACATTATAAATAGGGTCTTTATTGTTGTCTGAGTCCCTCTGAAAGATTTCCCTAACATTCCCTCCTGTTGAGATGTCATCAGGGCAGGAAGTGAGAAAAGACGTTCCCAACAGGACCATAGAGAACAGTAAAAAATTAGGTTTCGAACCCGTCCCTACTCTACCAAAAAACTGAACTTTATAATGACTTTACTAAAATAAAATGCATCTGTGTGATTGCCTTTATTGACCCATGTAACCAGTTTAGACATTGCTTAGGATATTAGGGCTGTGTATAGGTGTGGCAGTGGTTGCTCTGAATTGGAAGAAGCGACTGTAATCAAAGTTCTATCATGTATAAATATTCTTAAGGTGCCTTTTTTCTAGATTAAACTCAAATTTGACTATTTTGTTCATGTATGGCATGAACATTTCATCCATTATAAATTATTTACTACTATTCTTTTCAGGACCATATCTGAGGGTAACGAAAGCAGAGGGGAATCTAAAAACTCATGCTGAAATTAACAGCCCACTTTTTTGCTCCGTTGGACCCTCCTGTGTACTGAACATGACCTATTACTTTAACAGCGGCCCTGCAGGTATTCGTTACATGGGATTATATATGGGGAAACTTTAATGGTTTGGGCTAGTTTTTATATTTTTGGATATTTTTTTTATATATATATATATACATGTTCATATATATATGTTCATAAATGTATAAACTAATGTGTTATATCTGTGACGAGTATGACATGTACGCTAGCAGATGCTTTAATGATAAAACTATTATTTATAGATTGATGACCTATATGATCTACTACTGAGGAAAGAAAGAGATTTCTATGAAAAACATAACAACAACCTAAAGAATAATTTTGTTCATTTTGCTTGGGATGTGGAAGTGCATGCTTAAAGGGAAACTTCATATTCAATTATCTGTACACTTTCATTTCAATCTGCAGTCAGTTGTGAATTTCCACATATACCAAACACAGTATGAAGCACAGTAGAGCCTTCACAAAAGGCAGAAGATATCTTTATGTCAGTGTTTCTTCACAATCTAATCTAATAAATAAGGGGTAAAGGAGAGGAAACACACCATGTTTACTGGCACTACTTCTTTTCTAGAGTCTGTAACGTGTAACTTTGAGAAGAGTCTGTGTGGCTGGTACCAAGATATGACTGATGACATTGACTGGAAGTTGGGAAGCTTATCAGATCACACAACAGGGCAAGGTGAGTTTGTCAAAGCTATTTGCTTTGAGCAGAGGCTTTTCTTCATTGGTCACTTTCTACTGAGAGTTATGTAGAAGTAGCATTACTACCCCTGGCAGAACACTTATAAATATTTGCAAGAAGATCGTCCTGATTGTTGCCCAAAGTGAGTACCTCAGGTCTTGTGTATAGGTATTTCTAGGGAGGATGCTCCTGGCTGATCTCTATTTGGGATCTTTTATGTTGTAAGACTTCTCCTGGTGGGTCTCTGTACTAGATTAATTCCTCAGATTTCATATTACTAGGAAGGCTTGCCCTGGCTGGTCTCCATACAAGGGGAGTTCCTCAGGTCTTGTATTTCTAGGAAGCCTTCTCCTGTTTTCATATTACTAGGAAGGCTTGCCCTGGCTGGTCTCCATACAAGGGGAGACCAGGTCTTGTATTTCTAGGAAGCCTTCTCGTAGCTGATTTCTGTATGAGGCGAGTTCCTCAGGTTGGATATTTCTAAAAAAACTTCTGGTTAGTCTTTGTACAAGGTGAATCCCTCAGATGTGGTAGTTCTAGGAAGACATCCCCTGGCTGGTCTCTGTGGGAGGTGAAATCCTCAGGTATTTTATTTCTAGGAAGACATCTCCTGGCTGGTCTCTGTGGGAAGTGAAATCCTCAGGTATTTTATTTCTAGGAAGACTTCTCCTGGCTGGTCTCTGTGGGAGGTGAAATCCTCAGGTATTTTATTTCTAGGAAGACTTCTCCTGGCTGGTCTCTGTGGGAGCTAAAATCCTCTGGTATTTTATTTCTAGGAAGACTTCTTCTGGCTTGTCATTGTACAAGGTGAGTTCCTCAGGTCTGCTATTTCTATAAGACTTCTCCTGGATCTCCTGGCTGGATCTTGTAATGCAACCCTGCAAGAGAGTGGGAAGACAGCAAAGACAAATGGAAAAGGGAGAGAATATATAATGATGATTTAAATCTTGGTACCCAGGAGGTGCCTGGATCTTTTAGAGCCATAATAGTGCCCTAGGAAATGGCATATGACCAACTTTATATAGAGTAGTAGTAGTAGTAGTATACATTCTTGCTAATCACAGTGCAATGTGAGGGCAGTTGTTATAATCCTGTACTGCCGCTGATGACAATGAGAAAAAGTTAAAAGAGCAAGGAGAAAGCAGTGACATATGGCCTGCTATATTTTGTGGTAACCCTTTTCTCTGTTGTAGGTCGTTATATGTATGTGGAAGGAGATTCTCGCGAGGATCGTGGTAACATAGCACGCCTTTTATCTTACCCGCAATCTAGCTCACAATCACAGTGCTTGTCGTTTCACCATCGGATGCATGGCCCAGATACAGGTAAAGAAAAAAATAATTCTAATGCCTCATCCCTTATTTTAAAGGAAGCCTGTCTTTTTAAATATGATAGTATCATGGCCATCATACAGGTCTAAAGCTTCAATCCTCCTTGTCATTGACCCAGGACAAATAAGCACTTGTTCACTTGTTGCATGCTTGCTCTGGGTCTGTGACTCAGAAAGTACCAAACCAGAGACAACTGGTCAAATAGTATTTTTGGTAGGCAACTGCAGCAGATGTGCGCATTCTGTCTAGACTTTAAAGTGTCACACAGAGATGACTTTTTTTGGAAACATTTGGTGATCTGGGACACCGCACGCTCACACCAGGCTCTCTCTTGCATTCCATGTAGGCACTTTGAACATATTCAGTATATATGATGGAGGAGAAGAGAAGCTGATCTGGACCAGCTCTGGAACCCAGGGAAATCGCTGGCACCGAGACTCTGTCACTCTCACTGGCCAGAACTATCAGGTAAGCATCCGCAGGAAAGCTATGCTTTCATATGGGGAGAATCGACTCCATGTAAACAGTGTCCCTGATGGTTACTAAACCTTGTACTTCCAGGGAACTTATACTAAGATAGGGGCTGTCTGTTTTCAGTACTTTGTGTCACTGACCCAGAACAAGCATGTAGATTAGAGAGTGAAATCCGCAACACCAGTAAAAGTAAATTAAAAAAAGAAAGGGAAGTAATCGCATAACTTTTGTACATAAGATAAAGTTGCCGAAGCATTCAGGATTTAATTGCAATTTGAGGAAAGTATTTTAAAAAATGTCTTCTCAATGCAAACACTGGTACAAACACCGGGTGCGCCTAGCAAAGCATCACAAACCAGTGGCTGGGATGGTGTATTGGCCATATGGTACAATCGTAAGTAATGTTTATTTATTTCCCATTTGCCAATGTTTTAGCTAATCTTTGAAGCGATGCGGGATGGATCTGTGGGTCACATTGCCATTGATGACATCACTATCACATCTGGCACCTGCCCTACTCCTACACGTTGTTCTTTTGAAGCTGGAACCTGTGGCTTTTCCTCCGAGGGAACATACACATGGAAGTTACATCAGCACAGTCCCTCTGAATCGCACAATGGGCCTTATTTTGATCACACTCTGCAGACCTTTACAGGTGACTGATCTCTCATATCTTCTGACAGCATGAGGTTGACTGGGGTGGCATTGGCTAGATGCAGTATGGAAGTGGCAGGAGGCTTTGCATGGTACAGCATTAATTATGCACCCAGGAAAATTGTACAAAGTACAAGAGCCCTTCGTCTGAGTGAAAGGAAGATTAAAGAATTGTTTAATATAACATTGGAAAAGATGTGAATAGTAAGGTTTTTTACTGTAAGAGTAGTTACTATGTGGTTAGGAAGAGTTCCCTAATGCAAGAGTGACAATGCATAGATAGGAAGAGTTTCATACTGTAAAGGTGTATAGAAATTGCTGAGGGTGGCTGGTTGTGTGCGCATGTTTATTCCTATGGAGAAGGGAAGTCTACCTGATCCTGCAGGCACCTTTCCTCCAGCTCGCCTGTCTTTCCATCCTTACTTACTCTTGTCATCCAATCCGCAGGATTTTATATGCTGATTGATACCAGCTCTTCCTCCTTGCCCTGGAAAAAGACCGCCATTTTGACATCAAGTAGTTACAGTGCTCAACCAGATGAAGCCTGTCTGAACTTCTGGTACCAGCTAGGAGGGGCAGATCCAGGTAAGAGATGGTGGGCTAATACTGAGATTCCTCAGTTACATTTAGGGTTTGTGTCAATGGGCTTTTCTTTGCTTCAAACAAGTATGTCTTTCCATACAAGTCTATGGGAATGCAAAACTCACTTGAAGCAGGTTAAAAGGAGGTCAAATGCTGGTGAAATGCACAAATCTGTGCCGCAGGCTACAGTTTAGACAGGGGTCAATGTAATCTATAAGTAGCATAGGCTAGACGTTTGTGCTCAGCATTGTTCATGGAACCTACTGCTACAAGGTACTTGTAAAGTAATAGGTATATTAGAAGATGTGTTGGCCCTACAATGCAGAGAGTTGTACAGTAGAGTAAATTAAAGGGACCCTGTCAGGATAGAGATGTTGGAGCTCGAATTGCTGCTAAGTTTGGAATTTACATGCTTTGGAGCTCTCATCCTCATCCTTACTTCACTACCTAGTGAGTCACTGACTTGTCACAAATATTAGCTAGTGAGGTCACAACTCCTGGCCTCATTCACACACAACGCAAGAGCAAAATTGTATATTGCGTAAATACGCGTATGTGCGTATATGCAATCCCAGAATGCATCATTCATAATAGAAATTTTAATGAACTGTACATGCGTATGTGCGCGTAAACACGTGTATATGCGTAATACGCTGCGCTGACTCATCTCGGTTCCATTCTGTTTTTGCGCATTTTTACGCTAGGCAAATATACGGCTCCATACGCAGCTATGTGTATGGAGCCATTTATTTGCATATGGGACAATACGCACGTACACGCTGTAACAAGGACACTCCACTGTAGTCCAGGTAAATCAAGTAGAATGCAGTTTATTAAAAGGACAAACACAAAATAGCCTGCAGCAGCAGCATAAGACAGTCCTTTATATGGCTTTCCTCATGAGCCCTCACTATGCTCTCCCAGCAGTGTGTCCCAGCGGTCCTAGGGTCACAGACCTTCCTGACCTCTCCCAGCCTTCCCTGGCTGTTCCACGTGTCCCACACGCACCTGAGTCTGCTGTGGCTTTGTGCTTCCTGCACCCACACAACTCCAACACTCCCCTGAGCACTGGGCTGGCTTCCTGATAAGGCTGCTCTCAGCCACCTGATTAGCCCAGGCTGGTCAATGGCAAAACCTGGCCCCAGGACTGGAGATCTCATCCCACCCAGAGCTCTACGAAATCTCCAGAGCTCCAGATCCCAGCTACAAATAGGAAAACCTGGACAGACCTGAAAAGCCAGGTTCTTCCTTATAACGTGTTTCACATTCTGGACCCTCTCAGCCCCTCTGGCTGAGAGTCCTGGGTGCCAAAGTCGCCATCCTACACCGTGGCATCGGCTTACACTGCCACAGCGCGTATATGTGCGGCAGTATGAATGAGGCCTTAAAATCAGGTCAGCAGGAACAGCTATCTTCTGCTTTTACCCATCTTTGGGTATCCTGGCCTGTCTTTGTTCTGGGTCAACCCTGGAGCTTGCATGACAATAAAATCCAGTCAGCAGCACCAGCTATAAGCTGCTGTTTCCTATCTGTGGAGAACTTTAAAGCCTATAATGTTTTCTTCAACTTTTGGATAGAGAGTGGAAAAGTTAAAACATCCTTTAGGTTTTGGTTTCTGTCTGCGACTGCACTCTACATAGCAAAATTAATACAATAAACTGGATCCTGCGAGATGTAACTAAACACCCCTAGAGAAGGTATAAACAGGGACCCTTCGTGCCCTTTAACAAATTTTTCAGGGTCTCAATAGCTCGTAGCTGGTTATACATTGTTGGAATTTTGGCCAATTCCTGCTGAATCAGATAAAAATTGATCTACGTTTGTCCCTTCCAGCACCACCCAGTTTGACAAAAGTCAATTTTTCAATCAACTTTTGTCGAAAGAGCTAGGTGGAAAATTGACCACCGAACAGTGACAGCAGCCAATCAGCTGCAGCCATGTTCCGGTATTCAAGCAGCCACTGGCACCGGCTGTCAGAATACAATAGCCGGCAGGGGAGATTCCTCCATCCATGCTAAACAGAGATCTAGTGATGGCCAGATTTAGGCTTACAGAGCTTTTATTTATAATCAGATAATAAAAAGGAAGAGAATGGCAAAAAAGAGGAGGAGTAATAATAGTTGCCCCCCCTCCCCCTGCCCTTATGGGCTAAGTAGTAGATGAAATGGTGTGTACATGGATAGAGAACTGGCTACAGGAACGTGTCCAGAGAGTATTGATAAATTACTCTTTTTCACATTGGTCTAAGGTTGAGACTGGCGTGCCTCAGGGTTCTGTGCTAGGCCCAATACGGTTTAATCTGTTTATTAATGATATTGAGGAGGGTGTTAATAGCCATGTTGCTGTGTTTGCAGATGATACTAAAATCGGGAGGATAATAGACACGGACTTAGACATTATTACATTACAGGAGGACCCGGATAAAATAGGGGAGGAGTGGGCAACTACATGGCAGATGAGGTTTAATGAACTTTGGGGTTAAAAACAGGCAAGAGGAATACTTATTAATGGAAACTCCACTAGGGAAGTCACAAATGGAAACATATTTGGGGGTCATAGTAGACCACAGATTGAACAATAGTTTGCAATGCCAGGCGGCGGCAAACAAAGCGAGCAGAGTACTTTCTTGTATTACAAAGGGAATGTACTGTAGAGACAAAGCAATAATTTGCCACTTTATAGATCACTGATTCGGCCTCATCTTGAGTAAGCGGTTCAGTTTTGGTCACCAGTCCACAGAAAGGATGTCCTTGAGTTGGAGAGAGTCCAGAGAAGGGCAACCAAACTCATGAAGGAAATGAAGGACCAAAGCTATGAGACACGGTTACTAAAGTTAAACTAGTTCACGTTGGAAGTGAGGCGATTACGAGGTGACATGATTTTGATGTACAAAATGTTTAGTGGTGATGGCAACATCTGCACTAAACTTTTTACAGTAAACTCCCTAACAAGGACTAGAGACCACCACCTAAAATTGGTGGAGAAAAGATTTATCCACAAAGGGCGTAGGGGCTTCTTCTCAGTCAGAGTGGTGACATTTTGGAACTCGCTGCCACAAGCAGTGATATCAGCAGAGAATATTGATTCGTTCAAAAATCAATTAGATACCTTCCTAAGAGACCGTAACATACAGGTACAGGTACTCCTAAATACTAGACTTCACAGGGACTCATATACACAATCACATACAGACACACATACAGACACACAAGGATTGAACTTGATGGATCTGTGTCTTTATTTAACCTCAAACACTATGTAATACTATGTACCCATTGGGTTATGTACCAGAGAAAACGGTTGTTCTCAGTCTTTTCCTTATATGATTGTAGTGATGCAATAACTAGTGTTCTAGTTGTATTACAATGTGTTTACTTTCTAATAACAAAATGACATCTAAAAACAAATTATGTTCCCTTCACTTTCTTATTATTTGTCTTGCTGTGGCATCCTGCAATAAACACTGCTTTATCTTTGACAGGAAAACTGACTGTGTACATTGAAGAGGATACTGGAAAGAAGAAGGTGAAGAGAGAGCTACTGAGTATCAGTGAGAACCATCAAGAAAGCTGGCACCACAAAAGCCTCGCACTCCAGTCTGAGAGACCCTGGGTGGTGAGACTAATACCTTGTACAGTCTATGTTAGTGGTGAATAGAGGAAAACTATACATTTAATACACCTACATTGTTCGAGAATAGCCAAGGAACTTTGCATTTATAACCTTTTATATCTGCCTTTTCCTTCCATGTACACTGTAGACATTGCTGTGTTGACATTCATCTTGTCTGCAGTCTGTACTGTAACTGCAGACAAGGAGTCTTAACAATACAGACATGGTTTACTCAATGTGCAAAGCTCAGTCATGCATAATAGTGTCTATCTTTTATTGATTTGATCATAGTAAAGTTTAATCTGATTGGTTGCTATGGGGTACTACCCTTTACACATTATTCTTACCCCTTGCTCTGCTGATACTGGGGCAACTGTCTCTCTTCTCCGTGCAGCTGTTGTTTGAAGCAGTGGGTGCTGGTGGAGATCGTTCATATATTGCCTTGGACGATATTCATATTAGACATCATCGTTGTCATGAAGCAGGTAATAAACAAGTCCTCAGTTTTAGTAATCCCTACTGCTATTTTAGCTATGGAGTCAGAGAATGTATTCTGTCTCTTCTGCAGTATCATGTGACTTTGAATGGGGAACATGTGCTTGGACCAATGTTCGAATCCCCCTTATGGACACTTACGATTGGGACTGGACATGTGGGAATGCTCTGGCCAGACCAAACTTCGCTCCAGAGAAAGACCACAGTCCTGGCACACTGGAAGGTAGGGGGATATGCTATATGTTCTACAGACCATTTATGGTAAACCTGTACTGAGAAAAATATGGAGGCTGCCACTGCTGACCTCTGTTTCTGAAATTGCCAGTTGCCTGGCTGTAATGTTGGTCGAGCAGGTACAGTAATTTGAGTCACAGACCCTGAACAAGTATGCAGATCAGCAGTTTTGACTTCCTGCTGACTTTCTAACCTGTGTGAGTGTTTCAGGTCAGCCAGGCAACTAGAGTTCAGTGGGCAGCAGCACTGAGAGAAGCAGCACTCACAGCAAAGCAGCACTGAGAGAAATACAGAGGATGTCATATCCTCTGTATTTCTCTCAGTGCTGCTTTTCTTTATAGTAGAAGGAAAGGCAGCTACTGCCTAAAGGCCCAAATGGTATCTAATACATTCCTTTCACACCTATGTCGGTTTTCTTTTAAATCACACAATTTAGATATAGTTTTTTAAAGTGACTGCATTAAAGTACCTTAACTATTAACAAAAATGTATCTTATTTGTGTATCACTTGGCTGTATATGCTCAAATCATCTCTGAATTGGTGCTGACACTGTCCTTTCTTCTGGAGGGTGGCTACTTTTATTCCCCATGGTCCCTGTGTGTGTTGTAAAGTAGCCACCGCTACAAGCTCACTCCCATGATGAACTACAATCTCATGTTTAGTTTACTAATTTGTATTGAGATTGTAGTCCAACGCTTGGAGCGGTGGCTACTTTACAACACACACAGGGACAATGGGGAACAAAAGTAGCCACCCTGCAGAAGGAAGGACAGTGTCAGCACCAATTCAGAGATGATTTCAGGATCTGATGCACACATAAGACATTTTTGTTAATAGTTAAGGTACTTGAATGCATGTTTAAGATTTAACGTCTGAGTTTAGTGTCACTTTAATTGTCAATGTCTGGTCATGTAGCCAGAAACTATTGGTGCCGCTTCTTTCTGCGGGCACATATTACCCTGAGGGCTGATATAGGAGGTAGGAGCCGTATTACTATTCATATCCTCTCCTCACGTCCGACGCTTCCCCTCACTCTGAATGCTCTGTAATTGTGCGTAAACTCCGACAATGCTCTCTGCTCAGGTACAATGGCAGTTCATGCTCAGTAAGGGGAAGAGTCTGACCTGAGAAGAGGATATGAATACTAAAGGAGCAGCAAAACTTTCAGGCGTGGTCAATGCTTGGGGATCAGCCATTTCAATAGTGGCTCATCCCTGTTGTTGGCTCCGCATAGGAACAAAAGTGTAATTCAGGGGAACAGCAGGTTCAAGTGGCAAAAGGCTGTGAAGCTGGAACATAATGTCAACGAGCATATGTTGTGGAAACCTTGTCATTTGTGGCTGGAAAGACACTGTAAGGTCACCTCGGGGTATTTGTACGGACCTGAGCTCCTTTTGCCATCAGAAATGCCAGTTCATTCATTAAGGCCTGGTTCACACCTGGGCATTTTACAGCCCGTTCCTACGCTCTGTAAAACGCTCAACATGTGAAAACCAATGATTGCCTATGGGCATGGTTCCCACCTGGGCGTTTGACAGTGCGTAGGAACGCGCTGCAAAACGCCCTACGCCCAAAGAAGTACAGGAGCTTCTTTGGGGCGTATTTGCCGCGCGTATCCATTGGGATACAGCCAGGTAGCCCTCGGAAACGTGCGTTTGTTGCGCGTTTTTTTTTACAGCGAATCGCGGTAAAAACGCGTGGCACGAAACGCGCGACAAACGCGCATATTCGATACGCCTAGGTGTGAACGCAGCCTTACACTAGATAATGCCAAGGCAGGAGGATGTCTTGCATCTGCCACAGTATCTTGAGGAAAAAGTGGGTAGGGCTTAAGGGGATAAGTAAAACTAGACAGAAACACTGCAAGGGAAAGGTGCATGAAAGGTTTTCTGACTGTGGAATATTTTAGGCCTGTGCTGTAGCTGAAAGGTGCCTACAACAAGGTCCTTCTCCATGTTATATGAACTACACACAGATGACTGTATTCTAATATAAGGCACATCCTAGACATTATAGAAATACTAAAGTAGAAGTCATGATCTCTATTTTCCCCCAGTGATGTCTTCTAAATGTGTCCAGCAGCATCCTGTAATAATTTGTCACCCAGTTTGGCTGCTTACATTTTCCCCATCTAAATATAACTTACAGTTGGTACATTGTTCCCCAAAACTTTTTTCTTTTAATTTATTAAGTATGGGCCTCAGCGGAATTCCTGTGGCAATTTATAACTTTATCCGATTCAGTGTGGCGCTCGGTTTCATGATACATCTGATATCTGTAGGTCATCATTCTAACTCAATAACTTTCATACCCCCTTCAGGACACTATGCATTTGTGGACACAGGCGCAATGCATGCAGAGGGAACCTCAGCTTGGCTGATCAGTGAGCATCTGCCTGCTACCGGTGGATCCTGCTTCAGTTTCTGGTACCGTACAGACTCCCAGGACCATTCCCGTAAGTGACTGGACAAATCCTGCACACTGTTTCATCATACCGGTCATTGGTTTGCAATTTGTGTGCTTGGAACAAACCACCTAAGTAGCAGTTGCACATAGTAAAAAAAATATATACTGAATCCTTAAAGTGTAGCTCTAGTTTTGTGTAGAAACAAAAACATTTCAGAAGATCTATATAAGGTACAAGGCTGTCAGCAAAACTTCTCACAGATTCTCACCTGTTCCTGTCCTGCAGGAACTGATGCTTGCCTTATCATGGTTTTCCAAACCATTTCACCACCATCTGCTATCACATGGGGGGGGGCTTGTAAGGGGTACAGGTACTCCTAGAATGAGATCCTAATAGGTTGGACTTGATGGACTAATGTCTTTATTCAACCTCAAATACTATGTAACTATATTCTAAGTAGGAGAGTCCTGCTTCATTATCACTACCAGAGCAGCCTCAGTGTTATAAGGAACATCATGTGCACTCATTTAGCAGAACTTACAGGTGGAAGAACTAGGAGGACCTCGGCACTGTAATGATAATCAGGCACAGATGAGTGAGCAGGAAGCTGTGATGTCCTTCTGCAATAGAAGGTGTGCATAACACAACATACAAATATTTTTGCAGAAACAAAAATATCAATAAAGTATTAAGCTGTTTGGTTGAGTACTTGTGTTTCGTCATGTATCTTGTGGTAAATGTCCCCCTGCACAACATCTGAATGCACACATTATACTGAACATTTACTCTCTGTTCTAGATCTGGCAGAGCTGGTTCTATATATCACCAGTTCACAAGGCCTGCAGCCGGTGTGGGTTTTGCGTGGCTTCCACAGCAATGACTGGCAAGAGCAACAGCTACAGTTCAACAGCACTGTGGAGTTCCAGGTAAATCCTGTAGAATGATTTTAGAGTTTTAAGTGTACCTGTCACCTGTACTCAGAGGTGAACCAAAATGGGTTTGGTTTTTAAGCTGATCTGAACTGTTCTGCATTGTTTCTTTGTGGAGTTGGCCATTTTGGTAAAGACCGGGCTTGGCTTTGTCATGCCAGAGTTGGCCCCTGATGAGGGAATATTCAAGAAGCCGCAGGAGAGGTTCATAAAGCACAGATCCATGGAATGAATGAAACAGAAGCAGGGAGATACTTGCACTGCAGGTCCTCAGGTACAGCTTTCTCTCCAACAAAGAGCATAGCAGTGAAATCATCAATTCTCACTCCAAATGTTATGCGCCTAGCAGTTAGAGGCAGCACTCCCTTGTATTATCCAACACTGCAGATGTAAGGCACAAGACACAGTATAGTGCCTAGGCATAGGAAGTGCTGGTCATTTTCAGGAAGAACTCCAGAAAAAAAATGTACATTTTTCAGGATACTGCTGGAAAAAGTAACCTCTCTAGATGTTCCCTATAACATAACAAATGTTAGATTTTAACTTTCAAAGTATTTTATTAATTTTTTAGGAAAATACATAACGCATATACATATATAACAACAACAAAAAAAAAATCAACCATCATTGGACATCATGAATCCAGTGGGACAGCCCATAACCGCCATAGTATTAGTAGAAAAGAAAGCCCGGGTAATATGCAAGGCTACTAGGGCCTAAAACTCCAATGAATGGGCCACTGAGGTACCATAAAACATAGGACTAATCATGGCCAGTCCCAAACAAAATAACATAGTAAATATAGAAGTAATATGGCACCACAGCGCACCCTTCCAGAGGTGCGGGAGTAGCGAGATCAGAGGTCGGTAAAAAGCCGATCAAAGAGGTAGTGCAAGAAAGGAGAAAGAGAAAGGACAGTAGAAAAAGAGTCATTATCCAAGTCAGTTTACGCTTGAACTATGCAAAGGACACCTTGTCCGTCTTGCAGGCTTTGGCATAAGATATCTTAGCTGCTATAACAATAAAAGCAATCAACTTAACCCGAGGCTTTTGTCAAGGAGGGGATAGAGTGGCTAAGAAGTGCAGAGCGTGGGTCCTTAGGGACCCGCACTCCTGTCACTCGAAAAATCAATGCAAAGATTCTGTTCCAGAATGGGCATAGGCTAAAACAGAGCCACCAAGTGTGAAACATGGTGTCCAGATCCGAGCAGCCTCAAAAACATAATGGGGAAGCATCCGCAAAAATGGTCCCCAGCCTGGAAGGGACAAGGTACCAGCGCATGAAACACATTTTAGTTTTTGACTTCAGGCCCACTTTAATATAGGGTACACATGACAAAGGATTCTAAGAGCACTATGGGTGAAGAGATAACACAGCCGAGTCTGCTTCCTTTCAGATGAACTACCTCTGATTGAATCCCTATAAAAAAAGCTGTATAATGGCTTTGGAAGCAACAGAAGAGTTAAAGGCAGCAAGTGCTCAATTTGCATACAAAGATACAAAATATTCAAATGACATTTTATATACCGGACTAAAAAAATATATTTATTACTTACTAAAATGTACTATTTAGTGCTGAAAAAATAACAAGGAAAATAAGCCCAAAACTTGTCTACATTCCCTTGAAACCAGAACTATGGGCAACATGCACACATCTGCAATAAATAGATAAAGTGGAAAGCTGGTAACCTGTTCCTCCCAGTGACTGTTACAGATTGACAATTCTTTCACCTTTTAAAAACTTGAAGCATAACATCCTGGAAGAAAAATGAGTCCCTGGCTGTTAAGATAAACATGTCTTCTTTCTCTATCGCTCATTGAGGGACATAGCTCTGAAGAATCCCAATATGTAGGGTTATGCTGCTGCTTCTAGGAGAAATGGACACAAGGCAAACAAAAAATTAAGCTATGGCTATATCCTTCGGCTCGTTTGTGAATAATCCTCTAAAAGCCTGTCACTTTAAGAACATAACCCCTCGCACCTCATGCCTGCCCATTCTTGCTTAATGTCCTCCGGAGAATGGGTGTCTCCTCCTCTTCTGGTTTATTATTTTAGTTTATTTTGTTTCTTCATTGAAGATTCTACTACAAGAGCTGCTAGTTGATTCATATTGGATATTATTAAATCCTGGGAGGCTCTCTAGCTATCCGACTAGACTTAGAGATTCATACCGGTAAAAGTGAAATCCTGAAAGTCTCTCTCGTCTTCCGACGGCAGGACGTTTCTGGTCTCAGTATTTATGCTTTGCCCTGCGGTGGTCATGCAGCAGGTTGTTTCTGGTCTCAGTATTTATGCTGCATCTTGAAGTGGTCCGGTGTTACCATAGTCGTTGCTTTAAATTTTCAGTCAGGCCAGTATTATATGCTATAAATTGTGAAAATGTCACAAAGTGATAAACAATTTTGTGTTATCCACAACACCTGTGTTGCACAATGCCTGTGCTAATATTAGTTCAGAAAAACTCTTGGTCTATTGGTCAAGACACTATAAACCATAATAAACATGGAAAACATAAATAAATAAAATGTGAATACCAAAAAACATATACTTGTGCTAGTACATCTCATAGAATGTGTACATATAGAAAATCCTATATTAAATCTCACAAGTGATGTACAACTTCCTCTTAATCTACATAACCATATGTGAAGTCCATTACTTCTGGATACAAAAAAAGTCCTTGAACTATGTGAAGATATATCTGTGACGGACCCCCGTACTCAGGATGAGTATGTCCGCCGCTGTCTTCTTCCTTGCTCAGGAGATATTGGAACCCGCTGATCTGTAGCTCCCCGTTTCCCCAGTCACTCGCCAAGGCTTGAGTGTAGGGTAAACAAACTCTGCTTTATTGAACAACTGCACAAACTTTTATACAGCAAGTGATGAAATCAGAATATAATCCCATCACATCCACCTCCCCTCCTCCCAGACCATCGGTCTGCTCAACACCACAGGTGTCCACCTGCTAACGAACTCCAGACAGCCATAGCAGAAGCCTGGCCAGAATGTCATTGTTCTGAGCTCCCTCAGAGAACAATGGGAGATAACGAGGGATGGTGCTGATAGTCTTTCCATAACCAGTTCACACAGCATAACGCACTCAAACATAACTCAATACCAATACACATTTAACTTAACCAATACACATAAACTGATCACCATGTCGTCACAATATCTTCCAACTTTTATAATCCACACCATGTCCGTCACACCATAAACAATTAGTGAATCAGTGCTCTACCTCCACCGTGCTCAAAGATAAGATCTGGCCGCACTCACCGACTCCTATTGCTCACCATATTTCAGATGAACAACTAGCGCTTTGTTTATATATTTATAGAACCAAATCCTCTCCTTTGTTTTTGATCCGACAATAAATTGGGGTATATTCCTCCCAACACTGGCTTATCTTTCCAAAACCGTATAACACTATTCCTCCATCTTCCACCTTCTCTTGTGCTCAGAGAGAGGAAAAAAGGCTTCCCATAGTGTAGTATGTCAGAATAAATGTATTTAAAATTATTAAAATGCACTTACAATTAAAATAAGGCGATTGCACATGGATTGTGTCACTGGAGTTCCTGTCTCTGCAGACCATCGCCTCAGAGGAAGTCAATAGTAACTAAATGCATCAGGTGGGCGGATCCATGCGAGCATTACAATCATGTTGTTCCCCATTAGGTCTCCTCTTCCTCTGAGGGTTTTATCCGTTCTACAAACACCCCTTTTGAACCTATTCAAGACATTTTTTTGTACTGGTTATCCAAAAAGGTTGCCTTTCTTGTGGCCATTACCTCACCTAGAAAGGTTTCCGAGTTGTCTGCCTTGTAGGGAACCCTATTTGGTTCTTCAGAAGAACAAAGGATTCCTTTTTACCTAAGGTGCTTTCAGCCTTTCATTTGAATGAAGACATTGTTTTACCTTCACTTTATCCAGCTCCTGTTCATCCTAAGGAGATTTCTCGTCATCGTTTTGGATGTAGTGCGGGCATTTAGAGTTGGTCATCCACGGCTTCTTTTCGATGCTCTATTTGTTCTTCCGGAAGGTTCTAGAAAATGATGTTTAGCTTCTAGATCCACTATTTCTAAGTGGATTAGTCAGGTTGTCATTCAAGCTACAGTATGCGTTACGGGATAAGGTTCTCCCTTTTCCTGCTTCTGCTCATTCTACTAGGGCGGTCAGTACTTGGGCATTTGAAAATCAAACTTCAGTTACTCAAATTTGCAAGGCCACAACTTGGTTTTCTGTTCACACTTTTGCTTTAAATAAAGTTTTATAAAGTTGATGTTTCTACCTCCTCTGATACTAGTGCTGGGAGAAACGTTCTACAAGCAGCTGTTTAAATAAAAGGTTACATTTTTTGTTGTTGTTGAATTGGTTCTTTTAGCTGTTGTGGTGCCCACCCCTCTATTTGGATTGCTTTGAATGTCCCTACATCTCAGAATTCTTCAGAGCTGTGTCCCTCAATGGGCGATAGAGAAAATAGGATTTGGTTACTACCGTAAAATCCTTTTCTCAGTCTATTGAGGGACACAGCTCTCTCCCTTCATTTAGTTTCAAACTGCTTGCTACAAACTGACAGGTGGGAAGGGTTAGGTCCTTAAAGTGTCAGGCTTTAATTTTTTTTGCTTGCCTACTGTCCATTTCTTCTAAAGGGGAAGCAGCATAACCCTAGGTATCAGAATTCTTCAGAGCGGTGTCCCTCAATGGACTCCAAGAAAAAGATTTTTTTATGTGAAGAACAAATTCCTATTTTTCCCATTGCCCATTCCTGTATAATTCTCATGGTCTTACAGATTGTATTTGAGGCATCGAAGGGTTCTCGTCCTCAAGGTTCCATTGTGGCACTGGACAATGTGAAGTACACTCCTGACCTACTCTGTAATTCGGAGCCAAAGCACAAAGGTAAGAACTCCTCCCGAATATTGAATTTGAATGGTAAAATCTGTTTGTTTGGAGCTGGAAAACTATTTTATATTTTAGAATTCTTATTCTAGCAATTGCTCCTGTCTGCTACCAGTTACATATTCATTTGTACAGGCATATTATCTCAAGTATGAAGTAATGCTCCTGGGTCCACAACCTTTTTACTGACTTCAATTGGGTAGCTGAGGTAGCCATGTTTTGCAGTAAGCTTCATCAAGGTCAGAGGCACTTTTTAAGGCCCAAAGGGTGTATACAGTGGTTGCCACAAACCCAAAACAAATGCTACCCTGGCAGTGGGGGCTGCAGAGGGATAGACAGACGAAGAAGCCCATCCACTTTTATATTTCTCCTTCTCTGGCGGTGGATACATATGCACAGACACAGAGGGGATTGAAAGCATCACTGTTACTATTATGATGCTATACATTAAATGTCTGGATTCAAATCTGTCTTATTGGGACATGGAACATATAGGCAGCGAGTGCTACACACGGAGAGGAGAGGCTGCTGAGCCTTATTAGTGGTTTCATACATGGTGGAGTAGATTAAAGGAATATAGATAGGGACTACACAAAATTGAACTGGAAATAAGTAGGCAGACTCCTTCATTCGTCTCTTCCCCTGTGGCCCCCACTGCCAGGGTAGTGTAGGCTTTGGGTTTGCAGCAACCACCATATACACCCCTTTGGAACATAAAAAGTACCTTGATGAAACTTACTGCAAAACAGGGATAGGTTGCTAAAAATTACCCATCAACCCAATGAATTGGGATTACTTACAGTGACCATATTGCATAGATTCTTCTCTCAGTTCTTGTTCCTGTGACACGGACATGAATTGGGGGGTTGTCATTGTGACAAGAAGGCGCAGACAATAAATGAAAACATTGTCAGACATTTTAAATCTTTTTCCATTTTAGTAAAATGTGCTTTTGTCTGTAGATGTGTACTAGCACTTCCTGTCCTGATCGGAAAGAAATATCTAAATAGAGGCTCTAACCCTTCCCTCCTCGATCTCAAACACAATAAATCATTTTGGCTGAAGTTTATGTTTTATTTTTATATATGTATTTACTTAGATTTTTTATTATGTAGGGTCTTGGCATTCAGAAAATATATAATGTTGGGGGGTTTTAAGTAATTTTCAGGCCTAAAATGTGGAATATAACATGGGTGCAAAAAATGAAAAAAAGGCCTCAGTCATGAAGGGGTTAAATAACATTTAGAACAGGGCACATTTATGATACTCAGCTTGCAAAGCATGGTGGGCCTTTCCAATTAGAATGTATTCTTAAAGTGTCTGTCAAGTTTTCTTATATATTATTGACAAGCAGAAAATGGGCCTCTACTGGCCTTTGTGGCTGGAGGCACTGTGGAGCATTTCATCCTCAACGTTCACAGCAGAAGCACTGAGGTTCTCCAAGTCCTTCTCTCAGCAACTGAGCTCACCCTGCTCCCTTCTTCTAGGGAGCATGTTCTGTGTTTACATTAGGGATTAGAAGGCTGCAAAGTCATTGCTGAGAGGGGTGAGCTAAGCTGCAGAGTTACTGCTGCAAAGGGGAGCAGGGAAAGCTAACTAGCTGATTTACTGCTGGCAGGAGTAGCTGAACTGTGGAGTTACTGCTGGGTGGGAAAGCAAGGGGAGTTGAACTGCTGAGAGAACTTGCCGAACTTCCATGCCTCTACAGTGAATGTTGAGGATGAATTGCTCCACAGTGCTTACTACAGAAAAAAAGTCATCAAAGTACACAGTGCTTGAGTAGTATGCCCTCTCCTTCCGCTGTTGCCCCATTCAATTAGGCCCCATTCACACACAAGTTGAAGCGCGATAAGAAGGTTTACAAGAAGTGCCTCAATGCAGGACACCGGGCTTAAATTATATTCAATGGTGCCCTATTTACAGTCCTGGCCAAAAGTTTTGAGTGACACAAATATTAATTTTTCACAAAGTCTGCTGCTTCAGTTTGTATGATGGCAATTTGCATATACTCCAGAATGTCATCAAGAACTTCAAGGAGAAAGGTTCAACTGTTGTGAAGAAGGCTTCAGGGCGCCCAAGAAAGTCCAGAAAGCGCCAGAACCGTCTCCTAAAATTGATTCAGCTGCGGGATCGGGGCACCACCAGTACAGAGCTTGCTCAGGAATGGCAGCAGGCAGGTGTGAGTACATCTGCACGCACAGTGAGGGGAAGACATTGGAGGTTGGCCTGGTGTCAAGAAGGGCAGCAAAGAAGCCACTTCTCTCCAGGAAAAACTGATATTCTGCAAAAGGTACAGGGATTGGACTTCTGAGGACTGGGGGGAAAAGTCATTTTCTCTGATGAATCCCCTTTCCGATTGTTTAGGGCTTCCGGAAAATACCTTGTCCGCAGAAGAAAAAGGTGAGCGCTACCATCAGGCCTGTGTCCTGCCAGCAGTAAAGCATGTGTGGTGTTGCTTCTCAGCCAAGGGACTGGGCTCACTCACAATTTTGTCTAAGAACACAGCCATGAATAAAGAATGGTACAAAAACATCCTCCAAGAGCAACTTCTCCCCACCATTCAAGAACAGTTTGGTGATGAACAATGCCTTTTCCAGCACGATGGAGCACCTTGCCATAAGGCAAAAGTATAAGTGGCTTGGGGAACAAATCATTGAAATTTTGGGTCCATGGCCAGGAAACTCCCCAGACCTTAATCCCATTGAGAACTTGTGGTCAATCCTCAAGAGGCGGGTGAACAAAAACAAACCCAACAAATTCTGACAAACTCCAAGCATTGATTATGCAAGAATGGGCTGCCATCAGTCAGGATGTGGCCCAGAAGTTGAGAGACAGCATGCCAGGGTGAATTGCAGAGGTCTTAAATAAGAAGGGTCAACGCTGCAAATAATGACTCTTTGCAGAAACATAATCTGTCAATAAAAGCCTTTGACACTTATGAAATACTTGTAATTATACTTCAGTATACCATAGTAACATCTGACAACAAGATCCTAAAACACTGAAGCAGCAGACTTTGTGAAAATGAATATGTGTCAGTTTAAAAACTTTTGGCCAGGACTGTACACCTAAGCGTAGTGTTCCTTCAAGCTTGTTGCCTCAAAATAGTACTCAAGCTTCTTTTGGGGCAGAGTCCCGCATTTTGGCCTCAGTAGACTTCTAAGAGAGCCAGTTTCAATCCAGGCTTCTACTACGCAACATTCTGTCATCAGTTAGGTTCCTGAACAGATCTATTCTTCTGGCATCAAGGACCAGGTTTTCTCTAGCCTGGTGGATTAGCAAGTCAGCTCTGAAATGGGGAAACCCTTTACTCCTACGTTCTGGAAGATCCTCACAACAGATGCCAGCCTGTTGGGCAGTCTGGTCTCATTTTTCCATCACCATCCTGGAACTTCAGGTGATTTGGGTGTCTCTGCAGCACTTAACCATCCTGGAAGAAGGTGAACCAGATTCAGCTGAATGGAGGTGGCATATATCAACCATCAGGTAGGGATCAGAAGTCTAGGTCTAGCCAATGCAAGATAGTTAGTTTGGATCCTGTTCTGGGCAGAACTTCACATTCCCGCTTTTGTCAGGACTTCCTTTTTGACTAGTAGTTTCTGTCTTTAACCTCAACCGGGACATTGTTCTCCTGTCCCTCTGTCTGGCTCCAGTTAATCAAAAGGGAATCTCTCTCCTTTGACTGAAAGGGCTCTCAGTCACTGCTTCTTCAGGAAGGCTGGTTCCTTTTATATTCTGGATGGTCCCCGTAGGGGTACACTGGCTTCTTAATCCACCATCTCGCCTTCTTACTATTGAAGGTTTCCCTGAGGGTTTAGCAGGCTTCTTAACCCCCAACCTTGTGGGTGGCCGAAGATCCAAGACAGTGACATCACAATCTGGCTCCTGGCACCTGTACAGGGCGCGCAAGGAAGCTGTACAAGTGGATGCACATATGGATGGAGCTCAGTCCCAGCACAGCAGCCCACACTGCGTTCCATTGCAGTGCAACTTGGGTCACGACTTAATGAGCAAGGACATGTGGGTCTTGAGGTTACACAGGTTGAGAACCACTGCTCTAGACTGTACACAGAGGCAGGTGGGAGCTCTGTTCTCCAGTGATATACTTGATGATAATGTTACAGGTAGGTTCATAGGTGTTGTCCCTCATAAACTAAGTGAGTCAGTCACTCCCTGGACAGTGTTGGCATTCCACCTCTTTAACCAACCAGAGTGCTGTTTGCATTTATGTGGACAGCAGACCCATATGGAGAATAAGCCAAGATGCTTTCTGTAGGTCATCACAGCTGAAGCATAAATCCACATGCTCAAATAGGAAATAATCCACTGCCCTATTCTGGTTGTGACCTTCACATTCATCAAACTGTGGCAAAATGGTTTAAACCATTTAAAAAAAGGAAAGATCCCCTTTTAAGGCCTTCACGAGGGCCTTACTTCCTGACGCTGAGGTAACATTTCCACTTTGGCAAGAATGGATTACAAATGAATATCCACTTGGACAGCCTTCGCTAAGAGCTAGGATTGTACAGTTAAAGCAATGCAAGAGTGCAGCTTCAGATTTTTATAAATGGCAATTCCTGAAAGATTCTATTCAAAGTGACATCAAAGTCAAAAGATATTTTTCCCTCCCCCCAATGTTAATGCCAGCACTTACCTTAAATGATATCTCTTAATCCGATCTTCTTTCCTGTCCTTTTCATCTGTCCCTCCAGCGCTGCGGCGGGTCTCTGATCCAGCGCCGACTCCTCTGTGCTTGCTGGCACTTCCTGTCCCACGGTATCTGCATGCGGGTGCACGCGTCCATAGACTTACCTTGTGTCTCTCCACGTCTCCCGGCCGAAAATGTGAACTGCGCATGCAGCCGCCCGAGCATTTTCACATTTTCGGATGGGAGCACGCGGGGTAGACACAGGTAAGTATTAACCTTTAAAGCGGGGTTTTGTTTTGTTTTACACTTTTTGCATATATCTACGGCTTGCTAGCAGTAGATATATGCAAACAAAACAGAGGGTTTAATAACCCTTTAACGTTTGGATCCGTTGTTGATGTCAGTGAGTTCATATAAAGGCGGCCTAGAACAACCTTTCACATTGTTATCTTTTAGAACAGATATCATGAAGAAAACAGCTGCCATTGCTAATCACTAATAACTGATATTGTGGACTTTTGTTCTAGCGGAGAAACAGAATTCAGGAACGATCTGGGCCACAGTTATCATTGTGATCATCATCCTCCTGTTTTCGCTGCTAGTCTTCTTTATCTACCGGAAATGGAAGAGAAACCATGGGAATGGCCCATCACTGCCTGAACAAGGGGACCAAATAGACGGCTTGGATAATGTGTCATATGAGCAGGTAATTCATTTGGAAGTACGTAGAGGCTCTTGCACTCTATGTGCCAGGCAGTCAGGTCTGGCATAGTGTCAGATAACAGAACGGTATGGAGGTGTCTGGTTTTAGTCAAACATTTGCCAGAGGCCTCTGGCAGCTTTCAAGATATATGCGAGATATACACGTGGGCTGAATCAGAGAAAACCCTTCAATTTCCCCATCCATGCTAAACACAGTGGATGGAGGAAATCTCCCCTGCTGGCTATTTGATTCTGACAGCTGGTGCCCACAGCTTCCAAGATACCTGAACTGTGATTGCAGCTTATTTGCTGAAGTCACATCTTAGCCAACAATTTTCTGCCTGGCTCTGATTTTTCACTTGAAGTTTGTCAAGCCAGTGGCACCCACAGTTAGAATTTCAGCCAACATTCTAACAGTGAATGGCTAGCTTAAGGGGGTCTAAGACTAACGAGACTCTCTCATACCTGCAACAGCCTCCCTTTTCTCATGCACAGGACTGGCCATAGTGATGAGCAAAGCTTCAACTATTCATTATATTACAGAAGGTTGCTTGCCCCTTGTTGTCCATTCCTAGTGACCAGTCAGATTGGCCATTATAGTGATGGGCCAATAGAAATGGGTGGGGACAGGACTTAGAAGCAAGCTCTGACACCACCCAGAAGTATTCAAGGTGGTTTTCACCCCAGCATGCAATTCTAAAAAGGAAGGTCTGGCAGTACTGCCCTCATTAAGAAAATCAAACTGCAATTTGAATTCTCCCAAAAATGGTCAAAATGTCTAAGAATTTCAAGAATTAATATTTTAATTAGTGCAAGCCTGGCATGGAGCCAACTCGGCTGCCTCAGCAGTCTTTAAAGTAGAACTATGAGGTGAGTGAAAAATCACTCATCCTCATAGTTCGAGGCGACGTGTGACAATGAAACTGTCACACTTCGGCTCAATAGATCGGGTAGTGAACACATACCGTCACTCGCTCACTTCTCGATCCTGTCCCTGCAGAGAGCTGTGACTGTCACTCACGGCTCCCTGCAGGGATTCACCCCCTCCCTTGTCCGATCCTCCAGCGCTGACTGGAGGAACAAACTGGGGAGGGGGCAGGTACAGCTGGCTCTGTATCACGCAGCTGGGTGGATCTCTACAGTAATGTCAGGATCCGTCCCTGCTGCTGCAGTTTCAGCATACCGCGAGCTATATACTGAGCTTTGGGTCACGGGAGGCCGTCAGTATATGTCCTCCCGTGACCCTGAGGAGAACGATGGGGAAAAACACTTACCCCATAGTTCTCCTTTAAACACCTATGGTTTTAGGCACATTGTAAGGAGATGTTCCTCTTGATTCATCACATTGGGATCCACAAACAATAAGCAGGTTTTAAAGACAAAAGTGTGACTAGGCCCTAAAAGAATGAGATTTACTTTGGATCATATTAGCATTGCGGATTCTTCCTGGAATGAGCAGCGCTGAAGTGATGTAAAAGTACCGTTCAATCCTGGAGTACTGTGAGCCTAGCCGGCACGTAAACAGGCTGGGCATTCAAGAGATGAGCAGAATGATGCGAGTCAGTCTGCTTGTAAATAAAGTGCAGCACTGGACCAAGGAGGAAACTAGGGACAGAGCTGAAGAATGGGGATTTATTTAATGGTGGAGGCTGCATTTATATCAAGTCAGAGCATTACCTGCCGATGATACAATGCCATTCATTCTATGGGGTTCCAAAAACAGCTTGAATTCCATCAAGATGCAAAACATGTCTCCAGTACAACTCACTGACCATGTTCGCATTTCAATGCATTCACAAAATAGTACACTCTAGTTCAGTACATGATAAATGCTCCTCAGTGGGCAAAGGGACAGGGTCTCTTTAATCCTTTTTTTTTTTTTTACAGCCTTTGTAACCAGCTAAAATATCCATCTGTATTTAGTTTCAGAATGAAGACATGGCTTCCACCAGCTCAGGGAGATGAAAGTTAAAAGGCCATCCAATCACAGGGCAGTAATCCTGGACCTCCCCTGCATATCCACCACTCTGAGAAGACATCTCATTCAGACTGGATATCTAGTCTGAGCCTTGATGACGGGGACTCTGTGCGGCCCCAAAAGCGCTTGCCAATTGTTTTTCAATAAATGGACTTTTGCTGATTATGGTGTGCTGGTAACATCCTTTGAACACTACATGCATATCACGGTACCATCCATGGTCACTGCAATCTTAATTCTTCTTGATACTGGATGAGATTCATGCAGGGGATCTTTATACACACGAGAGGGGGCAATCTGAAGCTGATTGACAGGCTGTCCTGGGGAACTGACATAAAATTGACATCCGAGCCAAAAGATCTAACACTTTTGGTAAAGTATCATTTCTTTTTAGCTGCAGGCAATTAAATAGCCATATACATCTGACTAAACCATTTGGTCCTAGTGGCATCGAGATTTGAGTAGATGATTCGAACTGCAGTGTGAACCATCTCTTTTCCAATCTTGGGAGAGAACTATACATATAAAAGTAGAATCTCTTTGAAGCTGATTTTAGTTTCTAGTCTATGGTGTGGTTGTGATGTATACTTAAAATAATTTAGTGGAAGTTTGTTTTTGCCTTACATAGAAACTTGGCAAACTGCCAGTTCTGTGCCTGCTATATCTTGCGCAGTATACATTTTGACCTGTGGAATATCTGTTGTCAGAGAGAGATCACGTGTCAAATCTGTACATTATGTTGTTACATTCTGCTAAGCTAATTGAATTCCAGGAGTTACTAAGTTTTGTTTCATTTATATTTGAAATAATATCCTGCGGTTTTATTTTTCTCATTATCTGTGATCCATATTATTGAAATTTTGATCCAATTGATTTCTTGTGTATCACCAATTTATATATAGATATATATTTGCACGCTATTGTGTTTTGTCTTCAGGTAAGCACAAATATATGAATATATATTTTTGTTAATTTGTGAAGACAAAAACACAATAGCGTGCAAAAATATATATATTTATTAACTTGCAGGTCATCAATTCCGGTAAGGAGTGCAGCAATACATCTGTTATACTTGGATACCCAGTCTGACACAAACATGAACTACTGGACAGGGTTAAATGGAGAAAATCCTCCTTACACCAGTAAATCCATGATTAACTTTCACATGGTGAACACAAAAATAGGTGTTACATGATTGATTTGTGTGTTTTCTTTAACCAGTTGACATCCGCGGTGTTAAACCCCCTTCCCATCCAGGCCTGAAACACAGATGCTGCAGTGCCGTCCGTCCGTTTTTTTACTACGGGCGGACGGCAAGAGGTTAAAGATAATCAGCTATCATGTTAGGTGAATCCATCTTTTATCAACTTGCCATTTAGTCATAAACACTTCATTATAGTCAGAGGAGGGAATTTATCAAATCTGGAGCAGACTTGCACTGCAACCAATCAGCTTCTCCGTCTCATTTTCAAATCTTACCTGAGCAAACTGACAAGAGATAGAATTGATGAACTCCCCCCAGAGTGTTACCAGCCATGACAATGCAGCACTGCACCAAATACTAGAGGAGAGAGTATTCACCAGAAACATAACAAAAGTATCATGGGATAAGACTGGGTGTCAGCTCAGAGATGTTCCCAGAAACAATCAAGTCACCTGTTCTGTTGTAAAACACCAGAAGTAGCGAGAACACTATTATGCAAGGACCACCACATCTGATAAAGCAACCATACACTTTGGGAAAAGATGAGGAAAAGGAGAAAACACTCTTTAGGCTTCATAAGCTACATTGTTCAGTCTAGTTCCCTCAGTGGCAGTTTTGTGAATGGCGGCCTGTACAATGTCACTGAAGAATACACAACCTTTGCACATCCCAGGCCAACACACAACTAGACTACAGAACCACAACGGATCTTATGATGGCTCCAGGATGCACTTGTTCTGCTGCATACTATGAACTAATCAGGATCACCCTACAGAAGGAACCCCCTGCATGCTCTGTCCTCTTGTAAGCCTCATTAAAACCTCACATTCCACTCCCACATTCAAAACCAAAACTTGTTTTTATTTTGAGGGAGAGAGGGAAGGGGTCCCTGTGTACATGTGTCCCTATAATGACCTGTGCCGATGGCCTTTTGAGCTTGTGTAGGAATCAAGTGTAATGCTTCAGAGATCATTCAGAATTCACCGACAGGATTATATGACCTGTCGACCTTCTGAATTGCTCCAAGAAGGTTTTGCATTCTCCTAGACTTGTATGGGAATGCAAATCCCATTTGAACTGAACAAAAACCCATCAACACAGAACCAAAAAAAACTAAAAAAACAGTCAAGTGGACAGAAATCTCCCACAATAAAATAATGTAATACTTCCTGACTACTAGAAAATGTGTGGTTATTGCTGCCCATGTCCCTGCTACAGAGGGAGAGATAGGTGGCTAGCAGTATTCAAAAAATAAATAAATCGATGTATCATTTGTAAATGAATACAGAACTGGGCTAAACGTTGTGTAACATTTACCTGTAGTCCCACTCTGGACAGAAGATTCTACAAGTACAAACCACGGCAGCTTATTCAGCTCTGGAACACAGAAGCAATGCGACGTTCCGTCAGTCTTGATACACATTCACTGTAAGAATCTGGACGTTCACCTACTTTTAGTTCATAAAAAAACATCTGCAATTCATTCAGTTGTAGAAGGATCATTTTTATTTTACAATTACGTACAAGGATGGGAGAACTTATATAAATGGAGGATCGATCCATCTGCTGAAATAAAAATTAAAAAAAGAAAGCAGCTCCCCCTGTGCGTGGGAAACAGAAGGTAACCAATAATAATAATAAAGCATCCAATTCCTGCCCATACATATGAACCTGCCGGGCCTGGCAGAAACTTTGCCGTTCAGATTTTTGTGTTATCCGGAAGAAATGCACATTTTTTTTTCTTTTACAGCAGGTAACAAGATTGCGTACAGTGTCTGCCCTGTCTAGTAAAGTCCAAAGCCCCAATGTGTACAGATTGGCAATGTAAAGTCCCAGTCCCACAAGGGACTGGTCGAGATCAGCTGGGGGGGGGGGGGGGGGGCATGCTTTGTTTTCATTTCAAAGGTTCCAGAGGCTTCCCAATGTCCCTCCCACGTAGCTTGAGGCCTGCAAGACAAAGGAGTTGGTAAGCAGCACTGTCAATGAATTGCAATTCCCAAGTATTCTAACCAAGGAACTGAAATCATCCAATGTGAAAGACCAGATTCCTGCAAAATAGACTTCACTGTCCTCATAGATCAAATACAGTTTAGTGAAAGTGATTCATACAATATGACAAAGTCTAACCCCATAAAATCAGATAAAACTTCCCACATACATATGACCTCCAAAAAGACATCTAATCCATAAACTGGGGATCTATACCGATCCCTCTTCAACAACTGACCCATTTTGACTTGCCTGTAAAATTCCTGCTCTTGGAATCTTGCTGCCACCTTAAGGTGATTGGACGATGACAAACAGTTGTCAGCACAGCCTGTACTTCCAGCAAGCCTCCATTTGTTATCAAGCAATAAGGAGTGAATCACAGGAGGGGAGGGACCTGTGTTCTGTACTGAGGAATTTCCAGGCAAGTCAGATAGCCTGTTATCTTAATTGTACAGCACAGGACACACGGCTATAGTCTGAAGTGCCAACAGGGCCACAGAACAAGGACAGAACACAAACTCACAGAGAGGCTTGCAGCACTTTGTGGCTGAGGCTGGCTTTAGAGGAGGCTTGAACAACCCCCTGGTAACACCTAACAAACAGAAGACCTGGTGGTGGACTTGCAATCTGGGAAACAGGCCTGGTGCTGAAAGACCCAAGAAACACTTCAAGACCTGGTAGGGAGTCTTAAGAGGGAACCTTATAAGCTGTGGAGATCACCCGTCTAATCTACCTAGCAATGGCAGAATGAGAGGGCAGAAGACCCTTACATGAGCCCTCAGGACAGACAAAGAGGAAATCCAATGGTCTAAAATAGGGGTGCCCATTAGGTCAATCGCGATCTACCAGTCGATCGCAAAGCAACCTAAGGAATCGCTGCAGCCGGAGGAGAAGAGACGCCCCCCGGCTCTCTCTCCTCACCGCTCGCCCATGCTGCTGCGACAGCGGCTCCCTCCGCCGCGGCTGAAGTGCTTCCTTTACTTCTCCTTGGATCCCCGCTGACTCTGCCCAGGAGACCAGCGGGGATCCAGAGGAGAAGTTGCAGGCTGAGCCCCCATGTGCGTGGCCGAGCATCGGTACATATCAGTGATATGTACCAAATAAGGGGCAGGACACCTCTCCCCGTGTGCAACGTCAGCCACACAAGCACCGCGGGAGGATAGGACGCCGGCGCCTCTAGAACACACTGGAATGCAAACCGGCCGACTCCCTGCGTTCATGGGCAGGAGGGGGCATGGGGTTGTATTGAAGTTAAGTAGACCGCAGTCATGCCCCCCCGCCCACAGTGCAATCGCCCGCACATTAGTGCCTGCATTCTGGCCCACCGCAGCCACGCCCCTAACCCGCAGTGCGATTAGTGCCTGCGTTCCGGTCCAGTGCGATCTGCAAAAATGCTGCAAGCACTATTTTTGCAGATCGCACTGGACCAGAACGCAGGCACTAATCGCACTGCGGGTGAGGGGCGTGGCTGCGGTGCCATTGACTGCACCGCCATGCCCCCTCCCGCCCCTGAATGCAGGTGTTTTTTCATTGGTAGATCTCATTGAGCTCATTTGAAACTTTTCAAATGAATCTCCAGACAAAAAATTTTGGCCGCCCCCCGTCTAAAAGAAGCATGTAACGTCTGAGGGCCACCGATTCAGAAGCTGTCTAGGGACATGCACAGGGGTTTTGTACAGTCATAAATCTTGATGGAAGTAAAATTTACCATAGATGTTAAAACCCCCTTCTCAGGAGAGAGGAGGTCCATCACCTAAGGACACCTGGTGTCCACAAAAATCTGAGGCTTGCCAGGCAGTAAGAGGGGTTATATGGGATTGCCTAACAACTATGTTTGCCAGTGTCCAATCACCTGAAGGTGGGAGCATACAGCCCATGGTTCAGTGCTTGTTCACAGCAATTGTGGTGCGTTCCATAGCGGTAGCGCACCCCAATCACTCACAAAACTTCCTCTGGGTTCTGGGGCAGGAGGGGGCATGGCGGTGCATTGAGGTCAATGGCACCGCAGCCAAGCCCCCCACGCAGTGCGATCGGACACGTGGCAAAACGTTGCACTGGAACAGAACGCAGGGGGAAATTTTGTGAGCAATTGCGGTGCGTTCCAGCAGCTGCCGCTCTGCAATTTGTGTCAACAAGCCCTAAGACTACCATCTTGTTCTGTACAATTAAGATTAGTTAACACTGCACCTGGAAAAAAACAAAACAGAAAATACTCGCACATCAAAATACCCTTCAAATAATGGGCCCATCTAACCCTCTGTTGACTCAAAATATAATGCTAAGGAAACGCATGACCCCAATGAATAAAGAGGGGAGTCCATCATTAAAGCTCCAGTTGTACTGGGGTATTCCAGCATGCCTGCCACCTCTTCAGAAGCACACCAATAAATTAAACTTATTTTATGTGACCAGACTGTGGACATTTAACTATTTACATATTCCCAACTAGCAATAAGGGCCCGGTCACACCAGTTGCAGTGCGTTCCTGCCCGATTCTGGCCAGAACGCACTGCGGCTGGCTCACTTTTTAGTGGGGCAGGAGGGAGCGTGGCAGGTATTGAAGTGAATGGCACTGTAGCCACGCCTTCTGGCCGCAATGTGATCGGCCGCATCGGATTGCAAAGCCCATTGCTCCTGCGTCCGGTGCGATCAAGAGGCTGCAAGCACTATTTTGATAGCACTGGACCGCAGGCACAATATGCCATTCACTTCAATGGCCCGCCACGCCCCCTCCTGCCCCACTAAAAAGTGAGCCAGCCACAATGCGTGGCAGTGCGTTCAGGCCAGAACGCACTGCAACCGGTGTGAACCGGCCCTAAAAGCAAGCCCTCAGTTGGGTTTTACCAACTGTAAACATCTGCTGGTTAAGTGCCTGGTAAACCTTACAGTGCAGGGGAAGCCCAACAAGGATTCAATGTACTTGAAGTTTTTGAAG